TGTGGGTGGCAAACTAGAGGAAACAAGGCCCAGGCTTACCAGTAACGTGTAGTACTTGTTGATGAGGACCGACACCACCCTGAGCAGCCGCATGCTGATGGGGAAGGAGGGCTTCTCCGGGGTGGCGGGTGGAGAGGGCGCCGTGATGCCCTGCCGATGTTTGATGCTGGGGGAAAAAAGCTTGATGACCAGCGGGCAGACCCGCTCCTTGAGGAGGAAGCTGAACTCTTTGTGCTGGAGCGGAGGCAGCAAGAAGGAAAACTCATTTAAGAAATTGGTCTCATGGGCACTGTCGACAGCAAGCATCCCCCGTTAAGGAGAGAGAGAGAGAGAGGTAGACTGGGACCTGGCAGCTGCAAGCCACAGCCACAAGGTGCTGCAGAGCAACATCACTGCTGGATCATGAGTTGGTCAGAAGACTGGGCTTGCATGATAGTTTTTGCCACAGGTGAACTGATCAGTTACATCTTTTTTTATGAGGATTTACACTTTGGCATACCTCCACCAATGCCACAATGGATTCTATTAGTTGTCAAACAAATGGTGCATTCTGCATGAGTCATGCAACACTTGTGGCTGAGACTTATGCAACAAACTACGGCATCAATTAAGTAATGAACTAGGTGATGTAAGTTATGCCGATGAAGTCCAAAATGGATGATTTTACAAAGGGAATAAATATGTGCTTGACCGGTCTTAAACGTGCGTTTCAAGACTGGCTCAGGGGAATGGCCGCGACTAATGCCCGAGCCACAGAGGAGGGCATTATCAGCATTCAGTCTCCTACGGCCAAGAAAATATTTATTCCCATTCGTAAATACCTTTTTAGTCAGAGAGTCAAGAAAAATCAACACATATTATGAATTTCCAATGATTTTATGCTAGAATTTTACTTTCATTTCCTGAACACCCCCGTCCATTTTATGGTATATTCCTGGTGCAAGTTGTCCGACAGAATTTCCTTATGTATGGACTTGGTGCATGGCGAGCCGCGTGCACAGACTCTTGACCAATCAGAATCGATTAAACTGTCTCGCATCCAGGAGCCAGCGCGTGATCAATACAGCGGGCATTATCACTTCCCAGTGGGCATCATCAAATGTTAATACACAGTCAAGTTGTGCGTTGTTGAATATGGAGACTGTCTGAGGTATTTGTAAATAACTAATAGTGTTCGTCATGGGGCTCATCATGGACTAACTTATGGAGTAATGAAATAATAGATCAGCCGTGACGGAACTTCAAGATTTGCTACCTGATTCCCAGGAAGGAAAGATGAAAACGGCGTCATAGAAGTGAATGTTAATACACTGCATAGCCATACCATAAATTTATTGTGTAGAGCTTAAATATGCACTTCACAAGGTTAAATGAGGTTTGGTGATAGGGCATTAGCCTTCTCACAATGACGACTGTTGTATCCACTCTGAGCGGGAACAAAAGAGGGCGAGTTTTTAAATGAAATTGGCAGTCCTTTGGTACCAACTCACCGCACTGGTGCATGATTTTATGTGCGCTTGACGCGGAGCTCGCTGAGTGCACGCAATGAATTTATTCTGGAATGTATGGTCTTTGTGCGCACACCAAAAGCGTGAAAGAACCCGGTTGGAAAACTTAGTACCATCTGTCTTTCTTTCGCCGGTGAGAGCGCACTTCAGCTCAGGGGGATAACGTTGCACTGAACTGGGCTGCAAGAAAAAACACTGGGTGAAGGGTCAGGGTTGCCATGCTACTGACAGAGTGATGCCTACTCACTCTCAAGAAGATCTGAGGAAAGCTATTGAGGACCGTCTCGATGAGCTCCAGACCAAATGTCCTCGTCATCTCTGTCACGCCGGCCAGCCAGTACGAGGAATCTCCATTCAACAGGTAACACAGGTCCTGCCGACAGAGAGGTAACTTGATGGTCAGTGGTTTGGGGATTGTTGCGACCATGGGAGTGGTAAAAAAGTGGAGAAAAGGGGGAAGATCTGATGGGGAAGAAAAGGAACTGGATGAACAGTGGAGCGGATTGATGGGCTGAGTGGTGGGTGGCTGCACAGACAAATGCAATATGGATTAAGAAATGGATGGAATAAAGTCGGATAGGAGGGGGGGAAGAAGACTTGAAAATGGACATGAGGGAGATGGGATGGAAGAAGAGATGGAGGGATTTATGAATGAATGGAAAAACAGGTGACTGGATAATATGAGACTTGAGTTTCTGTTAGACATAGAAAGTGACATTCAATGTTGTTCTTAATGGGCGGGCAGACACCTCCAGCTTTCCGTCTTAAGCTAACAGAAGAGACCCCGGTAGTAACAACCTCTAAAGAAATGGACACGTCCATACAGAATTTGTGTTTGAATTGTCCCACCTGGAAGAGGAGATATGCGTCGGTGGCGCACGGTCTCAGAGACTTGGGCGCTGCCTTGTTGCTGGAGTTACTGGATTTCAGGCGCTCAAGGTCCCCGTCGGACTCCGCTCCATCTTATGAAAAGAGGTCAAAGGAACAGAGTCACATGAGGAGGAAAGGTGAGTGGAATGTCTCAAAGCTTGGCACTGCTACACTGACCAAACCGTATTTGGTTCTCCTACCTCTTTTTAGGAACACTATCCACTGACCAGTGGAGAAGCCTCCATTAATACTGAACAGGTCTAATGCTACTCATCGTATTTTACTGGCACATTCTAGTGTAACCATCTCTTGCAGCAACTCAAAGCATCCTTAACTGAACCCCCTCCTGGACCCACTTAGGCCAAGTGGTCAAGACCTTTTTGACAGTCGTCTTTTGTAGGCATACGCACCTGCGTTAGCTTCATCCTCGGCTAGTACCCTCTCCATGACGATGGAGACGACTTGCTGTACGATGGCAGATGCTGTGTTACTTGTGGTGTTGTCCTTAGAAAAATGCAGCCGGAAGCAGACTACAATGGCCTGCGGGGGGGAAAAACAATATTTCATACACAATGGTTAAACATCAAAAGTGGAGGGTTAGGTCGTGTCTATAATGGCCAAAGTACAATGACATGTTAATGGTAAAGACTGAAGCCATAGCAACTCTGATATCCAAATTCAGTATGGCTTTCCACTGAAATGACTCCAGCACCAGTAACTTCATTTCAACAAAAAATGAAGGCTTCCAATCTTTCCTGATAAAAATTCAAACCTTTAAACAAGTAAAGAGGCTACTAATTTGGAGAATGCATCTGAATCTAGACTTCAAATAGCAGTCGATAAAAAGGAAGAAATTGGAAGAATTTTGATGTTGGCAGGGAACAAAATGCCCCCTGTTGCAAATGACTGCAGCAGGATCCTAGCATGTGACTTCAATAACAACTGTACCGGAGCCCAACATTTTTCCCCCTTTCAGATAACATCAAGTGCTTCAACTGACCCGTGCCAGTGCCGGTCCCCTGACTATGGTGTTGGTGGTGAGAATGACGACTGCCGTCTGGAGCACTTTAAGGTCCTCAATGCCGCCTTCCATCAGATTCCACAGCATGTTGATGACGTTGCTGGCAGCCGCCTACAGCATCAAACATGAAACAAATCGTTGGTGCTCATTTTTCTAATCCTTGGTACTTCAGAACCGGGTTTTGGGAAGTTGAGGTCCCAGTGTCTGCACCAGTAAATAAAAAAAGGACCACTTACGGCAGAGAGTGCTTCATGGGTGATGAGTCGCTGGACCGACCCAAGACACAGCTGGACAATCTTCAGGTTCTTGGTGTCGCATCCCAGCAGGAATGGCTGCAGGATCTCCCCGCTGCAGGCTACTAGGGCTGAACCCAACAAGGAGAACAGGGATGTCGTTGAAACATGGGCCAACGTTTCAAGAGAAAAGTGTTGGAGTCGAGACCATCACAAGACCGGACACAAGACCAGACACCAGGCTGGACACGGGACCATTCAAAAGACTAGTCACAAGCAACAAGGTCAGTAATGATCACTGGGGTGTAATATTTAAATCTTAAGGAAAACGTGGGCAAAATTCGTGGAACTAAGCGAGAGGGACATCGTTGCGTGCAGGTCATGCCAGCATGCGTGTTTGTATGGGGATACCACGGCAACTCGACGCAGACGGTCGGCAAAGTTGAACCTGGCTCAACTTTGCAAATCGTTCGCAGGCTGGTTTGCGTTTGTCTGCGATGTCGGCGACACAACCGTTTGGCATGTTTCCATATGTCCGCATCGCAGTTTGCATCTTGATTGCGTTACCCTCTGCATTTCTTACGTTGATATGGAAACCAGGCTTAACCCTAACCCCTAGGGTGTATGTATGCTATTTTCACCCTAAAAGAAAACCCCACAACTGCAAAGTGTACTGTAAACTCAAAGGTGGTGCGTTTGCGCACATACATGCGGGCCCCTATAACATCTTTACTATATGTCAACCTTGCTTGAAGATAAACTTGTTATCATGCTTACGCTCGTGGAACACAGAATAACGTAGGGCATCTGTGTCCTGTATACCACTTGGCTTCATGGTCTCGTGGTATATAACTACATTATTCTGTGTCCTACTTGGGTTTGTGTGATAATTAACATAAGCACATAAGTGCACATGTACATTAAACATGTACATTTATGTCTGTATCACGAATAACGTTTCAGAAGAGTACTGTGCTGTCTCTCCACCCTGACAATGCCGTTTACGAATCTGAGTTGGAAATGCAAGACATGACAGAGCACAAGCAAGGCATAATACAAGGGGGCGCTTTACATCGCTTAAGATGTTTGATTATGGACCATCTGTTGATGATCTGCCCTTGTAATGTACAAAGTCTTTTGATATGACTGCCTTTCAAAAAGTACAAAAAAAATTGTTACAGTTTGCTTCATCTTTTGAAGGGAACAAGTTGCTTTCAGCATTCTAAGAATATGGTCCAATTTCTTACACGTCCGCTGATAAATTCTACATAAATTAACATACATTAAAACCAATACTACCTTCTCTGTCATTAAACAACACTTGATTGATTTTCAAAATTCTTTGAAAATAAAGGATGTACGGTACATGTAGATAGTTTTAAAATTTGGGGGTGAGCTAAGGCGACAAAAACATTTGGTAGTGGTTTGCTGGCACTGACCGGGTAGAACGTTTTTATTCCTGGCAGCTATGGTGCGTATCTTGAGTATGCCCGCCTCTGCTGCCTGAGTGTCAAATTTATGGAGAAAAAGATGTGATTACACTATGTGTTCACAATTCTTGCCACTTGAGAGACCTCTTTTATGATGAATTTACTCAAATAAATGTCTGGCGAACAAAACAAAGGTGCAAGGAAAGAAGATGAAGACACAGATGAAGATTTGTTTTGGAACTACACTTCACTACACTTGACATTTATTTATTTCTGTGAATAAATATAAAGAAAATCTGTCAAGGACGACATAGCATAAAATTCAATACGACATTTATAAAAGCAGTACAAGTGCGTAGATACCAGAGATAATTTGAACCACACGGCAAAGAACAAATCATTTACCTCTTTGACAGGAGGGAATTTTCTCTTGCTTTCATTGGACAGCCCGCGCAGGTCCGTCTGCAAGTTTTCCACCAGTCGCTTTGTTACCACTGTCTCTCCTGCACGCCCCGCCATGGCTGTGTACATGTGTGTTCATGCAGCTCACTGGAAATCAAGGGAACATGTTTTTAAAAAGTATGGGTCGAGTGCTCATTCACCTTAAGTTCTCGTGAATTGAGGGACCTGATATTGTGTTTGGCAATGAGTTTGCTTACAATTACACGGTGGTTTTTTTTTTGAGGGGGGAGGGTTCTTGAATTTTGTCCCCATACATGCAAGAACAACACTTGATGCCTCTGTGCACAAACCCATGAGATTTGTCTGAAAAAACTTAAGTGATTTCTTAGTAAATGCTTCAGAATGTTTTTAGCTAAATTCACTTTTAGGACATCTTATCACTTTCTAATGGCTGCTGTAACATTTTTCAGGAAAATTAATGTTGTCTGTACAGCATGTACAATGCAGACGAACTCTTTCCTATTCATAATAGATTAATACATTAAGAGACATTTGACAAGTAGTTTTTACGGTAAACATGTAAAACAAAACAGATTGGCCTCTACTTAAAGTACTAGCAAAAACCAACTTAGTTGAGCGGTCTGGAAATTGACTTGCAAAAGTGAAAGAGGTTCAAATCCCAGCATTTAGGAAAAATCCTTGTGAAAAAGAGATGGTGATATCATGGGCAGGTAGTGGGAGGGGAGGGGAAAGAGGAGATCAGAGGACAGGTGGAAGTGGGGAAACCCCTTTTTCCTTATAAAAGCCCCACCCCTTTTTTTGAAAAATCCCCCTCGACAACCCCTCTCCTCACCACCCAGATCAGTGTGGGAAAAAGGCCACAATTTTGGAGTAGGCCTACATGTAACTTGTAAGTCAATGTCCCCCTATATCAAAGCAAAATCTTTCCGAAGTCTTTTCCTACAAAATTGTCCTATGCTAATTGAACAGGCGTGACGTGGCAAGACTTTTATTTTCGTGCATGTGATGTACAGTGGAGGCCTGGGCCCAAATCCAACGGCAATGCAAAGAATCGATATACCGTAGGCCTATCATCGAATACATTGAGACGTGGACGCATGCAGTTAAGTTACGCAGCCTTACGGTATGACACCCAACTTTCGAAGCAGCTCGGTGTTTAAAAATTTCTGCTCTATTAAATTATTTAAGACTCGCTCAAATACAAAAAATCATCACTAGGTACATTTACTTGTACACTATGAAATTAATATGAGTAATTAATGACAGAGAGCGGGTGAAACCTACCTCTAAATTATGACGGAATCATCTGTTCCTTGCCACGGATAGGGGTGGCCATTTTGCCAACTAGTACTAGTAGTAATACCCAGAAGACCGTGCGGTTTTAATATCAGTTTAGACTTGCTTTTAGTCACCTTTTACGATCGGTACAGCCACAGCTAGGAGCTAGCTTGGTACAGTGAAATGGGAAAACCAATTAAATTTCCCTTAAAGTTTCTTTCCGTTATAATTGATTAATTTATGTGTGTTACGGGCCTTTATGTCTGCCAGGTGAAGAGGAACTTGTTTATTTTGGGGGGCGTGTGGGGGGGGGCTAGGTAGGGCGGCAGCGGAAGGGGACGGTATGCATAAAGACTCTTGCATGCAGTGGCATGGTAGGCCTAGGCCCTTTTCCAATACTCGACTTGGGCTCCGTTTGAGGCTTCGTTCCCAAAACCAATCCCCGATTGTGGGCCTGAAGCGTTTAAATTAAATTGGATTACGGTAATTTCTGGCTCTCTTGCATCTTATTTGATGTTTTGTGGCACTATTAGACTGATTACTGCGCTTACAGCTTCAACGTCAGCTGGTTAAAAAACAGTTGAAGCCTGAGACGCAGCCGAATTGAGTATTGGAAAACGGCCCCTACTTTGTACAAAAACGTTCACGGTTTGGGATGGAGTCGAACTTGGCGGGCTGGTACTCAATCCTTGAGTTAGACTCGTGGGATTTCTGACAAATGTGACAGGAGCATTTTGGGGGTAAAAGTTGGGAACCAGACTCTCCAGCATAAGTCGGGTATGCTTAATGAGATAAACCCGGTTACCAAGCGATATAATGAGTTTTTGACCTTCTAATTTGCATAATTGAATGGCTGCCTAATTGCCATTTTGCTTCAATATCGGTTAAACAAGTCTGCAAAGCATCATGTGTCGGTGGCATCGCTTCTGGCGTACCAGTCTTTAAGAACAGTATATGCCTTGCTGCATCAACAGATTCTGTTTTGTGTACATCATATATTCTGCAGACAAACTTTTTCTGCAGATCGTATCGTCTCTTCTGTAAGCTCACTAATTCCCAAGTTTGTGAGCATGCAATTGTTGGTGCTCTTTAAAGACCTTCCAGGATGACTTTTTAGTGTGGTTTGCAATATAGGAGGTAGTGTCACACTCAGTTAATGCATGAAATGGTAAAAGAGATGCAGCTGAATCTCTTGGGAGGCTGTTGAAAACTGTGTCAATAGGAATGTATCAACGTTTCTTGGTGGTGCCAGACATCATTCAGAGGCGGTCACATTGCATACGTAGGAAGTGGGCAACCTACAGCAGGAGCACATCAGTGTCCCTTGATGACACAACCATTTTGTAATTAATATGCACAGCATGTAACAACACCGACCAAGTGCCAGCTTCTAAGCTTCGTGCGTGGCTTTCAGTTGAGTCAGATCCGTGGTTGTCTTTGATGACCAAACCTCAAGTACATCTCTGAAACCCCCAGCAACTACAATCTCCTCGTCATCAGGTGCCTGAGAGCAAAGTTCCTTACACAGAAAAATGTGCTAGATCGACTTTTTTATTAGGGGGTGAGAGAAAGTTTGTCCAATTTGTCGGCAGAGGCACATCACGATCCTCAACAATTCGTCTAACTCTAAGTGGTAGAGCTGCATTTGTAATTGTGCGTCGAGTTCTGGTAGTACCCTTGATTGTCTCCTTTCTGTATCTCTCAAACACAGTGTCAACCCATTGATAGTTGGAGCCTGCCTTCAGTACTGCTCTTACGTGCACGTATGCGTCGGCCAAATCCCCAAAGGTCATTGCATTGGCGGGGTTTCCCAAAGTAACCACCAGTGCTTGTCCATCTATGATAAGGCAAGATGATGTTTCATAAAGTTCAATAGCTTCAGGACAGATGAGGTCTTCATTTATCTTATCTGCCAATACAGATTTGTTTCCGGTACGGAGTGTACCATTCATTTCAGCAAGTGACACTGGAACAGGCAGAAGCTGAAGGCTATTGGAGATCACTTGGCTAGATCTGGTTTATCTGAAGTTTGGCTGAAGAGCGGAGTGCTAGGTGAGCGAGATGTGCAGCTTGCCCTGTCAGGAAAAGCATACAATAAGGCTACGAGAGTTTACAAACTTACCCTACAAGCGTAAACTATACACGACGGGGTCCAGCCGTATTTAGCCGAGATGCAGAGACTTCCAGAGGTCATATTACATGTGTTAGAGTTTCAAAGAGGCAACTTTGTTGTCAAGCGTTCTGTTGGCTAGTTCAACCAGGTAGACCCAGACCAAGCTATGGAGTGGATAAACGGTATACAGGAAACAGAGGCGGCGGGATCATTGGCATCACAAAAACTACATCCGAACCTTGTAGATGGGCACTTTTATAATCTGAGGTCTTACATGCACTGTACAATAACTGTCCTGGTAAGGCACAGGTGTGTACAGTGAAGCTACCAAATCGCGGCAAAAGCGGGACAACGATGATCGCATTGCTCTCAGCCTTCCAGCCTGGGATTCAGGTTGTTTGCATCAGCTTCACCAGGGTCACTGCAAAATATCGCCACCAAACAGAGAAAATCCAAAACTCGTTACTTTGTGCCCAACAACTTAGACAAGAAGAGGTGAATACATTCATTTAGGAGAGGATGATTGTACCTGAGCATGGAGACAGGCCAGCAGTCCCAATCCATACATCCCTACACAAGAGCAATGCAAAAACATTTGCATCTCTGTATGAAGTGGCCAAATACATAAAAGACAAAACAAGGAAGTTCGTTGCAGTGTGAAAGTCCACCAAGGCGAGGAATTAATTTATCTCGATATTCTTCCGCAGACACGTCAGTTCCATGAGTTGAAGTAAAGTGCTTGGTCCACTGTAAGGACAGTATGTTCCTGCCCAGAATGTGAAGATATTGCAGTACACCTCTTCACAACTGTATTAAGTGTATCCAACTCATGAGCCGGAGCAAGAATTATGGGTAAATATCTTACTGCAGTCTGCAGTCTGGTTCCTCTAATGAGATTGACTGATTGAATACTGTCCGAGAAGGTTTTGTATCAGAATCCTGACTGCACATGAAGAAAGCCATGTCAGTTGCTTTTGCGTGTTGGACACAAACACTTTCTTCTTCAGGTTTCATGAACAAGGCTTTGTCAACAGGGGCTGTAAACGCAGGCTCACTTGTGGCGGGACTAATACTGACAGAATAAACCTCCTTTGGGACATCTGACACACTTAACGTATGCCTAGTTGATGGCTCTAACATCTGAAGTTCAGCATCTACTTTTTGTCATCGTTGCATCAACACTGCCAGTGGTCGCTTTACCCTTCCTGTAATCATCTGCCAGATCTTCTTCTGTAAACATTGAGGTTTATGAACTCTACTCATGTTCCAGGCTAGCAGACAACTTTATGAAGATAAGTTTTTTACTCGCTTTAGCGGGTGTTTGTAGGTGTACATGTTTCCAAGGTGATGTATTTGGCCAGCCTGCCCAGTATCGGTGGAACACTGGGCTCTGTTTAGGGGTGTAGGCTTATCACTCTCCCATTACATTTATTAATTCTTAAATAACTTTGTCGACGGTGAAAACATGGCCAAAGAAACCTTATATGACATTTTTGCTTGTTTTGACACTTAAATTATGGATGAATTTGATTTTTACCTAATGGTGGCAGGCCATTTGCATATTTATGAACAGGTAAACCACTAATTACCAAAAATATTCCTTAAATGGACTTAGAATGGCTAAATCATATCGTCCAACCATCAGAACATAGGAATAGAAATTTCATTTTCATGTGTCCATGACCAGCTACAAGGATAGGCCTACTTAACAAAATGGAGGCAATTTAGCTCTCATTTCAATTATGCAAATTAGGCAGCCAAAAACTCAAAATATCGCTTAGGAACCGGGCTTATCAGAATCAGCATACCTGAATAATAGAAGAAAAGCTGGTTCCCAACTTTTAGCCCAAAATGCTCCTTGATCGTTTTAGAGACCCTTTTTAAGGAAATCTCACTAGTCTAAGTCGTGGACTCGATGGTATGACATCGTGATAGTTGTGTGATCCTTGTTCATTGATGAAATTTTAATAGGGCCTGTTATTCACACCCAGTAGTCCGATTATTACACAAGAGTAACCTGTGGTACACAATACATGCCTGAACTACATTTCTTTATCTTGCCGAAGGGGCGTATTTGAGGCATCACAGATAGCGCTCAAGGGCATGCATTGGCAGTGGTAGTTGGTTAATCACATGGAAATTCATCGCAGGGAAGTTCCGAGGTCACAGGGGTTGAAAACACAGAAATGCAACAGTGCTCTCTAACTGAAATAACGAAATTTCACTCCCTTTGACTGAAACCAGAGGCAAGACAAATTTGAGTGAAAATTTCTCACCCCAACTGATCGGAATTTCAATCGAGTTGAACTGGAAGTGCATTCAAACTACATGTATTCCAATGTGAATTTAGTTTCAGTCCTCGGCAATCATGACATGTATTAAGAGGATGGTTTGATGTGATGGGATGAGGCCAAACAGTCATATTTGAACCCAGATAAGTGATAGTTCATTTAGGCCTACCTGAACATAGGTGCCGGTTGCCATTTTTGCTTTTACAATCGGCCGAGGGAATTGTACGAACAGCAATACAGTACACTGGCTTTGACCTTCCCGATTCATATTCTTTCCATTTCCTTCTTTCTGTGATTATACATGTAGGTCTTTGTTTGTTTGTTTATTTTTCTGCATCGAGTTACCAAACTTGATAACGTGGCTTGTTTGCAGTGAACTTTTTACCGTAAGCCCTTTCAAGAGAACAGCGACAGGCGTGTTAATACAAGGGTTTGCTTGCCCCTTGCAGAATAGAATGTTGTCGCTTATAAGTTAAAAGAAATAGGTTTAATATGAAAAACCACAACAGCCAATCAAGGGATATTTTTGTTTCCCAATTTTCTAATTTATTTTTTAACATCTACTTTGGCCATCCCAACGTTGCATTATGATCTTTTTCCACATTCCCGTCACCGATCCGTTTTGTTGTCCAAATGTTGCTTCCATATACATGTACGTTCCATTAGCATCCCGTCTCAAAATCTACATCCTGTTTGAAACTGCACCCCTAGGCTTTGCTACCGAAAACAAACTGACCATTACGCAGGGGAACGGGCCTGTGCCTTTACGCGGGTCCATTACGGTTCAATAACCTGGCGGGCAAGGCTAACCATTTAACCAATCGATCGATTTCGGCTCCCTTTCTAAAACTTTTACAGAAGAGTAATAACCTTTCACTCAATGGCCGTTGGAAGGTTAGAAAACCGCACTCCAGTGGCATAGGGCTTATTATATAAGGCAAAGGATAATGAAAGTCATTCCTCCTGATAAAAGTTGTATCAGGAAAATCACTCTTGTCACAAGATCTATTTGAAACGTGCATATTCATCATTTTGAAATCAATTGTCGTGCTCCGTTTCCTTCACAGCGAAGCTCCTTCAAGAAGGTATTTGCCTCTGTGTTCAACTGTTTTCATGATGTGACATGCATGTGCATACAGACTCAGACCGTTCGGATATTGATTGTGGCATTTCCATTGGTAAAGTAATAACGCACGTGATGCAACTCAAATTTTGTTTCCAGATACTTTAATTTTATTGAACTACAAGAAATTCACTAAGTTTCAAGTTTATGATAAATTAAAGCGTATTTCCAAAGCGGTCCCAAAATACTTGCTGTTCAGTTCCTATAGGTAAATTTTGCAACGTTGTGGGGAATAGGCACGCACAAGTATTTGCACGTGCAGGGGCAAAATCACTGTAAAAATGTTGGTCAATTTTGGGTTGATATTTAGCCGAATGTTGCTGTGAATATCAATTCCCAAACCTTGGACAAATTCTTTCCAATCGTTGGTCAATGCTTGGCGAACAGTGATGGAAATTAATCAACAATGCGGTAACTTTAACCAAGGTTGGGCAAATAACAAATGCCTAACACTATTTGACCAACATTTTTTTAACAGTAAGTCACTGACCGAGCAAGTGCACCATACTTAACCGGTACGTATCATCAACCATTTCAAGGAGTTTCTGAAATAAATTGTTACCAATTACGAACTCAAAGTTTCTTGTCCTTGAGGGAAGCTATAGTCAGGAGAATTTCACAGTTAATGGTCGAACATCCAACATGCTTTGCAGTCTATTTACACTGTAAAAATCAACTTATTATAAGCGCTTCTTTGCTATAATTGTAAACATGTAACCGTTTAAAATTAAACAATTTTTAAAGAACTAAACGTGGTTTGGTGTTCAGAAAAAGTTACTGCCCGATACACGTGTTTTGTGTCGTTTTAACACCCAACACATCGACATGTATTGAAAATAAACACTGCAACGTGTATAGCTTTTGCGGATTATTAACACCACGACACGTTCATCAAGTGTTACGTGTATCAAAGGCGTTTTAACACACGTTTATACAGTGTGGTAGTACATATACTGTACATGTATTTCGATAACATTCAAATGATATGCAGGACTTTTTAAGTGCACGGCTACAATATTGGAATAATTAAATTTCACAGTTTATAACATTTCAGTCTCTTCTTTCTATTTAATAAATGACTAAGTACATAAATTAGAGGAGCGTACTCCACAAAGAAAGATGTCATTAGAACAACTAAGAACTAAAAAAAGTCTATTGTTTATCCATGAGCACTGCATCACCAATAATGTTCTTTCACGTCAAACAGTTGTTTTGTTTTGCAGTTCCACAAACTAGATAATTTCCAACTCTAAAATATATACTCTATTTCCCTGATTTAAAGACAGAGTCAAGACTTGAAACGAAAATTGAACACGTTTAACACAAGTATACAGCAAACGTTTATACAAAAAAAGATAAAAACACACCAAATTCTGGGCATGAATCGTGTGCACTGCATTGTGAATCGAATAAAACTGGTAATTCAAATGATGCCTAGAAAGCATGTGCAAAATCGATTTCAAATATGTGTGTTTCCCTTGAACAACTGCCAGATCAGGTACACACACCAACAAAACATCTGGTACATCGAATTCAGATAATTGAAAACAATTTCTTATCATTGTTGGCGATGAACCTTTACAATCTAACACCAGTTTTCTCGTAAGCCTGCATTTTCAACATCCATTCAATTTTAATTTACCGATTTACCGTGCGAGTGGTTCAAGGTCAGATCAGAGCAATGTCGGTCGTTGTAAACAAAACACAGTTACTGTGGCTGTGCAGGCTGCTTTATGGGGCACACAAAACAATAATTTATAATACTTCATTTCCAATGCCAAAATGTGCTTGGTGAAATTGCGTGTTAAATAATCACTCACACAGTTAAAACCAACGATAAGTTTGGAACTTAGTTTTTCTAAGTCCATTGTTACAGTCTCACCACGGATGAGTCCTACTGCGAGTGATGGGGAGGGATTTCTGATCAAGTCCGTCATCCAAGGATTCTGTGAACGTCTAGTCCGTTTCTGCTGGCAAGAATTGTGTTTGAAAATGATGTGCGAAGTCCTTGCTGTGAGTGAAGAATCCGTTCTTCCACTTTACGATCATTGTTCTCCAAGTCAAAGCTGACCTAAGATTGTAAGATGTACCGGCGTGATGTGGTTATAGGTTAGAAAAGAATTTCTTGGAATCAGTTCCTCAGCGACGATGACGTCGAAAGCCAGCCCTGATACAGTGAGCAACTCGCTCTATGAAGCTCGGGAAGTCTCACGGTCAGTCGTCTGGCGGTGAATGGGTTGTACCGTCACTGCAAGATCGTCGATCACTTGATGATAGTAGAGCGGGAGGGAGTGTTTGGGGAGCGGGTGCAGGACGGCTGGTAAAGGCCATGTTTGGAAGACCAGGCACACTGAGGGAATGGGGTTGACATCGGAGTAACTGCTGACATCCCACGATAAACAGTACAAAGCACACATGATAAGCACGCCCAGGATTCGGGTTCACTCCACCCGAATACTAGCTGTTCCTGATTCGGCCGGCAGTTCGATTGTGGGAACGAGCCTACTTTTTCTTGCTGGTCTTCGGTTTGGCAGCTGACTTGGCGGCCTTCTTCTTTCCCACCGTCGCCTTCTTGGTTTTTTTGGCCTTTTTCACGCCACCGGCTTTTGTTGTAGACTTCTTAGCAGCCGGCTTCTTGGCCGCGGACCGCTTCGCACCTCTTGGTGGCATTATGTGGTTGTACAGGCAAATTGTACCGAAGATACAGACAGAAAAAAAATTTCGCCCAACCGTTACTGTTCAGGGACAAGGTCTGTTCAGTCCGATGCTGGAATTTGAACTGGCGTGTTTATTATGATCATCGGAATATTATAATAAGGGGGACGCTACTCGACCTGAAGTGACGCTACACTACTCCAGTGACGCTGCACCGTTTGGAGGTCAGGCATTGTTGTTTACTGGCAAACTGGAAAGGCTCCTTTGTCCACGGCGTCGACGATGCAGGCTGGGTCGCACCACGGGTGACCTCCCTTGGAGATCTATATAGCGTCCTTAGATTTGGAAAGCTTGGAGACCGGGTCAAGATCCTGCGTATAATAAATAGGCTACGCAGTAACGAATGGTGCGGCAGGAACCACACGAGCATTTGGGCGGGCCGACCAACCGCCGTTTCCAGGCTTTTTGAACTGGCTTTATTTTCCCAAGGATCAACGTATAACCACAGCTCTATGGTATAACTGTCAACATTGACAGTTGGATATTCAATCGATAGATGTACAATAAGAAATAGAGTGCAGATTTTCGGTGGCAACGTATTAGGACCGATATTTTAGAACAATAAAATATATATGGCAGAACAATTTTCTACTTTAACTTTTTTAAGTAGGACAGAATGAAATTGTTTAAGATTGTAAGGCCGTAATTTGTAAGTGCACTAAATGTGGCTTTGATGGTACACGAACCCTATGATGGTACTGATGTATGTACTTTTCAAAAAGTGCATTGGGAGTGACTGGTAAATAATAAAACCATGTTATTATACCAATTTCAACATCTTGAATAAAATTACATGTACACAACAGGATTTTAACCGCATCTCCACGTTTGGTAGGGTCATGAAAATCTTTGCCCTAGAGTGATAAGAAAAACTATTGAGACAGGTCAGACGTATCAAGGCTATGGACTCATGAAAGGGGAATTTAGAATCAGGGTCATTATTGTGGTTTAATTAACCAGCGGAAGCAAGCCCCTTGGCTGCACGTACTGTATATGAGCTTAATGTTTGTACACCTGCCTTAATTTGGGTCTGAGCCTGGAAAATGGGTTTCCCCGGTGGATTTGATGTTTATAACTTGACCGTAGAGCAGGGCTGGATGGGGGGGTTCACGCCGGAGATTTTTTTAATGTCTCATTTTTGCGGACAAGCAGAAATGATGATGGAACATTACATGACATACATTGCTTACAATAGTACTGGTCCACTAACTTTAGTTTTAAAATTTGGTTTTGGTCTATAAGAGCAAGGGGGTCGCCCCCTGCATCCGCGTCTATAAAGTAATTCGAACTCACGTGGCTTATAGGACAACTTGGCTGAAGTAGCGTTTCTTTCGTCAAAATATCGATTCTTTTCGTTTTTGAGTTTTTAAATCCGCTTGTCACGCAATTCTCCGAAAGGACAACTCAAATTCGTTTCTATTTAGGACATTCTCATCATGAACAGAGAGCAACCACAAGTAGCGGACTGGGATTTGCTTGAGAATGGTGACACACATCTCCCAAATTTCACTGCATAGTACATTTAAGGGTGCAGTTTCAAATCGGGATTAATTCAACAACATTGATGAGAAGCTATGTAGCCCATTCTTGTAGTCGCATAGAGGAGTCGTTACCCCGAATTTTTTTTTCAAAATGATGACCCTAACTTTTCACCATTTCTGTTTATGAATACCCTGATTCATATTCAGGAAATTCTTCCCGACAAGTCTATTAAAGTGTAAATTTAATATCTAATTTAACATAGTCGACAACTTAGGCCTACCGTACCATGTCACACGTCAATTTCATATAGGGGGATACAGCACTTTGCCGCTCCGCTCCTACTTATCCTGCCTCTCCCCCAACTAGGACCCAATCCCTTTCACTTTCCCAAACAAGACTGCTTACACCCTGTACACCTTTTCTCCGGATTCCAGGTGATGATTTTTTTTCTGGGTAACTTTAACAAAATGTGACCGTCTTCCCACGAAAACACATGTAGCAAACAGTCTACTACAATGGAAAATTCCACTACGTTGGCGCCATCTGGAAACTGGTCTCCCCAGCCCCGAAATAACACGCTGGGGAGACTCGACTTGAATAAAAGCGATAAGGCTCTGGATGATATTTTTAGAAAGGGAAGCAAAGCCTGACATTTTAACAGAGGAAGCTTCAACAGGGAGTGAGGACTAGGCACCGTTCGAGACTGGCATTATTAAAACCGTTTTTCCGTAGAAAGTACACAGTGTGTCCCCCTGACAATTGTGTAATAAAAAAACAACATGCCCTGGCCAACAAGCTGGGGGTCCATGCGCTACGGCTCCCGGTCACCGTGGATCAGCGCTGGTGCCCTCTCCTCATTGGCGTAAATGGGGGTATATAACCCCCCACTGTTGGGGGGAGGTTGGCTATTGCATCACCCTCACCTTTTGTGGTGAGCAAAAAATTAAAGCGGATTGTGACGGAGTTTTCAGACTTTCGGCGACTAAACTGCATTCAATATCACTCAAAAAGGAAAAACTTTTTCTTTAAGCCAAACATGTCATTCTGAATATATAATACAGATACATGCATACATCAATATCATGAACACCGACCGTATAAATTTTGATGGCCGGAGAAGTCATCCCCCCTCTCCATCCCCCTCTCCCCAATTTCGGGCACAGATTTACGCCATTGCCTCGTCTGGCCGACTGTCACCGAAGTTATACGGCTCCCTCCAAGGACCCCTGTTTGTCCCTGAACAAGGCTGCGAACATGGGTGACCGATGACCACTGAATAGGGGTTATCTAAGAATTCGCAGCGGTTTCAACTGAAGCATTACCAAACTGCTCCTATACAGCAGCGTCACACGGGTTCTCCCGGAGCACTTCTGCGACTTGTGCGTGGAGCAGCTCCGTCGCCTAACTCCATTGACATAATCCGATCGGAGCAACTCACTGCAGCTGGCTCCAGGTCTACGTCTACTGTTCCGCTCCTCACCGCTCTTGGCTTCCGTACCGTGCGGAGCAACCCTGCAGACTCGCGCTCTGCTTCACTGACTCTGGTTCGGAGCAACTCTATTCCTTTGCCGAGGCCCCGAACCTGGCAAACCGACACATGGGATGCCTCCGTTCTAAAGGCACATCCTCCTAACCCCTAAGCCGGGAATGAAAGCAACATTGTGAGTTTCGATCTTTACTCTACAGATGACTGTATAGTAGGGGTTATTGACATCTAGTTCATGTCACACTCACAGGAGTTTTGAGCCTGAGGAAGTGATGACAAAAGCGAAACTGTACAATTTCAGATTTCTCTCGTTCTAAGTGGACTATATGGATTTGATTTTTGTGAAACTTGTCTGTTGGAGCGATTGTAAATTAATAATTCAGCTTCCTGGGACGAGACGGTTACGTTCGACTTCAAGAACTCGGCTGCTGAACTTGAAGTTGGAGAAGTAGTTGGGCCAACATCACTAGTTGGGTCTGATATATTCGAAGTTGGGCATTCGGTGTATACGTACGTGTGTACATGTACATCGTGGACGTATATAAAAAAAACCTGGACTTTCAACGCCTTTGTATGTGAAATAAAAGCCAACCAGCGGCCATTTTACCGAGCCGAATACAAAATGCCCAGGTTGGCTCGCTTCTGTTTAAGCCAGCATGACGCCAGGGAGAACAAAGGCGGGTATTGCCGGGCAAGCTTTGTATTCGGCTCGGTAAAATGGCCGTCAGTGGATTCAATGATCTCTATAAGCTCGCAATGCCCTTAATCATTAAGGGCATTGCGAGTCCAGATTTTTTTTATATACGTTTGTGGTTTTGTACATAGGCTATATACAGTTCTTAATAGTACTAGCCCCGCCTAGGTTTGACGTTGTCTTCATTTCATTACCACTGACGTAGCAGGGAATCCACCTTGGCTATACGGTATACCTACGTGTAATTTTGTAAGCTCGTGCAAGGCTTGTTTTTTGGCATTCATGGAGGTTTAAATCGACGGACTGCAACTGAGGAAATACCTGCCAGACATTAACTGTCAAGCTTTTCATGATTTGAAGTTCCGTGCCAGGTAGGCGTAATGTTGGCCGGTCAGTCCTTTTTCATCTGTAGTCATAGGCTTACATGTCGTTCATTATTCATATTGATACATTCAACCATGGAGGTCTTTTCCTACTCAATGATTCAACATGTTCAATAGGGTGAAGTGAATTTGAAAAAGTTTGAATTTTAAGTTCTGTATTTTACTATCGGCTACTATGATGTTCTAGTTAGCAGTATTTAAGACCTACCATAGTGAAAAAAACATTTCAAAAAAACTTTGCCTATCCTAAAAATTGATTGAAATTTCCCGTTAAAAAAGCAGAGTCATTGTGAATTGCACTTTATTGCATTCTTATCACATTGTACTCTTTCCTCATTTATTTAGTATCGCAATCTTACCTTTCATTTACTAACTGTGGTATTTCCAATGAGCTAGGTCAAATATAATGTAGATGTGGTGTTCTGGGTAGTTTTGTACATGATGTACATACATGTAGAATCCGTTTGTTTCCTTTATGGTACATGGACAAGTACATGCATGTACATGTACAACCCCTCCTTTGAACATAAACAAGCCCAAAGAGTCCTGTTGAGGTTGATTTTATACCAGAGATGTTTTGTGGTTTGAATCCTCCGCAAATGGCCTTTAGCAGTACATTCAAGGCTGTACAAGAGCGTATTGGTACATGCAATATACACAATGTACTCTTTATAAACCAACTAGATCGTAGAGTAATTATGACTGGTTGTACTGCTCACGATGGCTCCATTTGCCAAGAGAACCAGATCTGCTACAGACTATAGGCCTATGTTATTTTTTTGTAGACAAGAGTACTGAGTTCAAGTGAATAAAAAACTGAGGTCTGGTGAATTAAGTGAAATGTTCCAGACAGAATAAACTTTTTGATGAGTGAGATTTATAGTCAAGTGGCAACTGAAAAGATTGTGATTGGGCAGCGTGCTTCTGTAAAAACATCCAATGCAGATGCAGTTGCAAAGAACATTAGGAATTGTTGCAGACGGGAATAAAATTCTGTCATACATGTATGTCTAATGTCAGGTCAAAAATTAAGAGATTCAAGGAGTATGAGCCCAATCTTTGAAATTTTCTGGATATCTGCACAGGTTCATGTAAATGAAAGCTTGCCATTCCCCAGATTGCAGAGACAACTGTACCACAATCCACCATAAAGATCTAGCTGCAAAACAGACTGCAATTTTATCCATTTAACATGTTTAAACTAGGATTGTCGCAAAAACAAGGTTCCTGAAAGAGAAGCTGAATTTTTGTTTTCACAGCTCTAGGGAAATTGGGACTTAAAAGTTACTTGTGATATCTCCAACAGTTGACAAAATAACATGGAAAGAAACAAAGAGAAATGAAGAGAGGAAAAGATACGATTGACTAATGACTCAGGAAACAACCCCAAAAGGAACCTGAGAACATGCCATGTACATGTACTTCATATCAAACAGACTTTTCATCCTCACCAAGAAGCGAGATGATTGAGACAAAGAGCAGTATCTACGCCGGTAATATTGAATTTGAGCCCCACCATTGTGTGAAAATACAGCAAATAAACACAGAACTAGCCCAAGTTTGTGGCAGGTATGGACTCATTAATAGTGATAGAGCCTGAGCAGCTGCTGCAAACCTAACTGCAACACTCAGTGATTTCCACATTGTATTAAAAGACGGCAACATGGCAATAACTGATCACCACAAACTGGCAAGGGAATGGAAACATCTTCGATGGTGAAAGTCTGATTGGAAGGAGAAAATCAGTACTTTTGACTTCGACAGGAAAAGAGCTGCAACTCTTTCTCAAAATAAGATTTGTAACAAAGTTTGCCCAATCAAGGTCAGTCATACATGTACATGTAGAAGACCACTGTGATTATTGCAGAACATGGAGGACATCACTTGCAGCACATTACCCCAAAGTCAGGAAATAGAGGTAATACATGTTTTACCAAGGCAATCTATGTTTCTACTTTCAAATAATGGTTGTTGGAGGAGATAGCCTTAATGTCATTGTTGGATGGGAGGCAGGTGCTCTCTATCACCTTGAAATGTTCCAAAGTAGACCACCACAAAGGGAGATATGCATGTTACACGGCAGTGAACTACCAATACACTTTACCTTCTCTGATGGTCATACTACAGGCCGGCGGTCATACTACAGGCCAGCAGTCATACCACAGGCCAGCAGTCATTCAGTGGACAATTAGGAGAAAATCGTTGAAGGAACAGTTTTGAGCTATGTACACAGGAAGTGGGAGGATTTAGTGCACTGATTTTAGTTACTTTATTAAAACAACAAAGAAAAACCAGAAAAACTCCACGGAAAAAAAGAAACCAGAGCTGAAAACATTTTTAAAAATAAGCTAGTTCACCATGACTTAACAGTTTTTTAGAGAAATTTCAGTCAATTTTTAGGTTGGGTAAAGTTTTATTTATTTATTTTTTTCAATATGGTACATGTAGGTCTTAAATATCGGCAGAACATCATTCTAGTCTGTTCAGAACTTAAAATTGAAACTTTTTTGAAATTCACTACACCCTAATGTATATGTCATCCCTTCTCCATCATGTCCATCATGTCAGCCTCCATCATGTCCATGCAGCCTTGTATGCAGTAGGCATACAGTACTTGCAGGCCATCGTCCATCTGTCCATAATGCAGGCTCCACCACATCCTCAACTCCGTTTCTGGGAATAGTTCAATATACGGATGCCAGTAATTCTTTCCTGCAGTGACTGAATAGCCATCTGAAAGCAAACACATACATGTCCAGAAAAGTTCAATTTAGGAGGGAAAATATCAAGTTGTTCAGTGAGAAAACACATAGAAGTTTTCAGACCAGTCTCATAGGGTTTGTGTACGGGGTGCAGTGGCGTCCGTATGTGGAACTCTTTCCCTGTTTCTTACACTGTGTGATGATGGGTGCAAATCTGGGGGGGGGGAGAATTGGGGTAGCCTACATCCCCCCCTCCCACATTTGACCAGGGGGATGGGCTATCTAATCATCCCCCCCCCACTTTCTCGTGGTGAGAAAGAAAAAAAAGAAGGCAGATTGTGAAGAATCATTCTTCATGAGATAATTTTTCTGTCTAGTGTGAGAAGTTTATTTTAAAAAGAAGAAAAAGCCCTACAAATTTTTTCCAAGTCACTTTAACGTAAGCCCCCATTGTTTTTCTTGTCCCAAATGTTGAAACTGAGTCATCACTTCTGTAAATGTTCAATATCCTGGAAGTAAACGGGGCAAATTTGATTGAAAACTTACATATGCTGCCAGTCTTGGCAGCATGGAGCATGGATTGAGTCAAGCCAAGATACTTAAGCAAGTGGGACCTCAGCCACGTGCAAAGTAACATTATTCCAACCAAACCAACACCACTTACTCATAAGTCAATAAAATGTGTACGAAGGCTCGATTACCCGAGCTGTGGTTGAGTCCATCACAAGTCATCCAGTCGTAAGCCAAGTCACGAGTTACATGTATTCAACTGAACTGTGACGAAAGCATGAAGTCCTTTGTCAGTGTTCAACCCTGTTACTTGTGACTGGTCTAGCGAAAGGACGGTTTGCGATGGACTCACCTAAGGCACTGGCCATATCACAAGCCAAGTTCAAGAGTTCTCTTTTCTAGTCTCATTTGCACTGAGTGCACAAAGGAAAGAGGTTGCCCTTGATGCAGTGGATGCTGTCTGACTCAATTCCCAAAGGTTGAGGCAATCTGAGAGGTCTCCTTGGAGTCTTGGCCTGACTGTACTACTTTCATGTATATGGTAGTAGAGGCCTATACATGTATTGTGGGACCCTGGGAGTTGCCAGAGTTGGTCACTCAGTATTTCAGTTAACATAGAGACTGAGACTCCAGGTTTGAGCAGTACAAAAGCATTGTAAGTTTTCAGCTTTTTTATATGAGGGTTTTGAAATCGACAAATCACTGTTAAAGACGTCATCCTCTCGTAAAAAGGATACCCCTAGCTGCATAATTAAAAAAATAGTTGAGAGTCTAATTTGAGCTCTTGTTCCATATTCAAACACATATACAGTACTTTGCATTTTGAATTTCTTTGTTTTTAGGAAAAAAACTTGCAAGTTACAATCCCAATTATTTGGAGATTGAAGATGATTCTACATGTAACTTCCTCTGTAATTACATGCACAATGAACCTGTACTTGCACACTCATTTATGTTTCTTGCGCCAAGTGACGCTTGGTTTATTTTGTTAAATAAATGTTCTTTTCAGAGATTAATTCTGACAAGAGACACACCTTTTCATTGTATTGCAGTTCAAGTTTAAAGCTGACTCTTGCAGGCTAAATTTGACCTCTGACCTGTGAATCATTCTCACACAAACGTGGGAGAGTTACCATTGAACCTGCTCTAAAGTGAACCCAAAGTGTGTCTTAATTGCCACCGCCGGAGCCAAGGGAGAATACTGGTGCATTGAGGACGGCCCAAAAGGCTTCAGGTCAATCTCATGCGCACAGCCAGCCAGGAAAATGATTCACTGTTCCCTTAATGCCCCCAGGGAAACGTAGTGTTAAGACTCCAGATGAAGAACTTGTAAAGGAAGGAGGAAGGGGGGGGGGATTGCGGCTTGTCTTGCATATTCATGTCAAAGCGGCTCCCAGCGCTTGACAGGCCAGGTTTGCTATTCCTGTCACTTCTTGGTCGGGGAGAAGTCGGAAATCATGACGCTTCCTGGGAGCTGGAGGAGGTACGTCTGCAGCAGCCGCGGTCTGCGGGCTTGCTAAACTGGCTAAGCCAAGGTTTCATCATCTACATGTACATTACATGGAGGTATGAGCACCGGTACCAGTCTGCACCTTGGCGACTTGATGGGATTAGAACATACGCAGAATTGAGGTTCTTGTAGATTCGCAGTTTTTTTTGTGTTATTGGACTGAGTGGATGAATGTTTGGTGCCTCTGAGGTCAGCTTCTTAGGTTGAAGCGTGGAAGGAGGCCAGGATCAGCTCTCCTGCTTCATTTGGTCAGAGACAAAACGGCAACAGACCTGTTGAATGTGACTGAAATATTCACAAGATAAAAGCTGCTGTCATCCCGTCGTGTTCACATGCCTGTGATTAGCCTATCCACGTACGTGTAAGTCCTGTATGATATATAAGCTAAATTTCTTGGCATTTTTGTTTAAAGTGAGGGGTATGTCATACCTTTATGTGGCACGCATGTTAAGAAAATGAATGAATATCATAGGTGAAACTTAATGTGTCATCATACTTTTTCCGGGGGGGAAGGGGGCATATTTGGCAGAGATTCAAAATTACTGCACTGCTCATAAGCAATTGTGGTGTGTGACAGAGAGGAAGTGACAGTGATATAACAGGTTGTGCTTACTTGTTGAGTGACTAGAACAAGCCTTGGTTTACAGGCTTTGATGTCTTGTCAAAGAGTCGTTTGAATGTCATTCTCTCCATATGTGTATTGCAACGAGTTGATCCTGTGTGACCGTATCCAACAAAATAGATTCTAAGGCCCATTCTTTCAGACAGTTAGGTTTAGCTTGCATAAGAAAGACCGCACTTTGCCTTTTGCTTTTGATTTATCACTCGGTTCGGCACCCTGGTGAAAACAGACGTTATGTGGATGAAATATTTCCACAGTTGCTATTGATTTACCTACATGTACATTGTGCAAGATTCCTTTAAGTGGCTCTGGCACCTTCCAGCTTTTTTTTGTCTGGGTCACTTACCATGTATTCTAGAGGTGAAGCCTAACCCACCATTTTTTTTTTTAAGAATCAGGGGTGTGATCGAGTGGCCACTTAAGATTGAATTTGAAAACAGCTAGCAAAACAGTTACGAAATGTAAAAAGTTCCCATACTGTTGTACAGACCAGGTGTACAAAAAAAGCTGAAATTCAGGGTCAACATCTACACCAAAAAAGCTGAAATCAGCTAAAAAGCTGAATTCTCTCACCCCTGAAGAATGCTCAGATAGCAGGGTATGGTGCTGGAGAGGTCTCAAGTTTCAGTTTAGGGATGCAGTGTTAATTGTTTGGCCACATGACAGTCTGACCCATTGTTTATCTTGTGAGAGGCTATTATGTCATTTCCAGACAAGTGCTGGGAGTGTAGTCCTCCTTTCCGATAAGAAACTTCCCCTCTCTGCCTCTGTTTTCAATTAAGCATGGGCAAGAGTTTGTGGTGGGAGGGTCTGATGGCTTTATTGAATTATAAGTTCACTGACAGATTTACTGCGTTCGTAGTATGCAGGTACACCTACTTGTCTCTACAGATCTTGATGGTATGTAGATGCCAGTCTCGTACCCATGGGTGTATTTTTCAAGGTCAAAGAATGTGTTTGAAAAGTATGCGCTGGTATGTTCGTGATAGAATGACTGATGTGTGGAAAGTTTAGTTTATACCCTACTTGGAAACTCAAATGTTGAGGTTCAAACAGTTGGGGGGGGTTGATAGGGAAAACAAGCTTTTAAGTGTCTCAGGATTGGGACTTGATCCTGAGACACTCTTTTGCCTTTGAGAAAGATTCTGCTAGGATTGAAAGGTCAGGCCCTCGCTATTTTGTGAGGTGATTATTGAAACGAATAATAACAGCGTAGTTTTTGTACAAGCTCAAAAATGTTTTTCATGAGCTGTATGCATGTAGTTGCCCTTGGCAAATATTTGTCTTCTTTAAAGAGGTTACCTGTGCACAGATGATGTTTGGCTACTTGATCAGTTTGCTCTCTCAAAACCAGTTGGCACCTGTGCTGCCAGAGGAATAAAAGAAATAGAAATGCAAGGAAAACATTGTTAATCATTCATGATGACTCAGATTTCATGTGAATTTCGCTTTCCTCATTGGTCTATTTACATGTACATGTATGCCATGGTTGTGCTAGAGTTTCCTCAGATGTGTCAAAGCCTGGCTTAACCATGGCAGGCCATGGTGAGCAGCGGGCACCCCTGGTCCACACTGAGAGGTTGGGACCCTTCAGCACTGATGACTTCTCATCTCAAGTTAAAATGGATAAACACCATTGTGCTTCTGAAGCAGAAGCAACTACGGTGATCTCCATGGATGTCTTGAATGTGGACCCCCTGAGTACCCTCGAATGCTTGGAGATGGAAGCCTCCCCGGGCAGATTGTCAGGTGCTACAGACGATCTGAGCGGTCCAGTCGCAACTATCCGAGAGGGTAGGTTTGTTGACAGGAGCGACCATTGGGACCCGACGTTGAGAAACTCGGACCCCCTGAGCACTCTGGAACACCTTGAGAGGATCGATGCGGATTATGACGACCCGTTGAACACTGCAGATCCGTACGCTAAAATACTCAAGTCCCAATGCTCAGAGAAGATTGTCCATCACAAGAGGACTGGCTTGGATGAAAATGGAGGCAGTCTTCAGCCTCATGACGTACATGTAATCAGCAGCCAGGTGAAACCAAGTTTGGGCTTAATTCTGTCCAATCCCTGTGACGGGGGGGCCAAGTCAAGAGAGTTACCGGTACCAGACCCGAAACTGTCCCCGGGCTATACACCCATTCACCGGAGGCAGCCACAGAGGTGCGAGGTGACCCCAGAGATGGACCAGCGCATCTCGCGGGTGGCCACCATCCTGCAGGCAGAGTACGGGCTGAGCAACACCAATCAGAGCAACCAGGGCCTGGCGGGCTGCCTGGGGTATATTGAGGACGGCTACTCCACCATCAGTAAGTACAGAGATGAGGGAGAGGATGCTGAGGTGAACGGTCATCAACAACCTCCGCCGACTGTGGAAGGAGGATCCCACCTACAGACTGTCATGAGACAGCACAAGAACCCCGCACCCGAATGCAGAAACAGCACGGCACGGTACAGCTCTTGCGTGTCCGCACTGGAAATTAACACAAGCAGACAGAAGCTCTTACGTGATGATAAGGTTCTCTCTGCACTTGCCTTTGAATCTTGTTGTTGACTGCTTGTTTTCTGTGCATGTTGTTGCTTGAGCCAAATATTACTTTTGAGATTTTTTTTCGGCAGGTCTTCAGTATAAATGGTCTTTGTTGCTGCCTTGTGGAAACTGCACATTTTGTCCTTCAGTTGTATTTCTTGTAATAAAAATGTGCGCTGCCAATCCGCAGACACTGGATACTGATTTCCCAATGCAGTGTGGGTTTTATGGTGGGGAGGGGCATTGTCTAGGGATGCATTTGAACTCTTTATTGGTTGAAAAGTCCTCTTTTGAATGTAATCATGGTTTGTCTTCACGATTTGAAGTTATTCAACTATTGCTAGCCCATTGTAAGCTTACCAGAAAATCCAAAGACGTTGCAGACACTCAATTGTTGTTAGCTGGAGACGAGAACGCAAGTTATACTTTTATCCTTTTTTTTTTACCCAGCCGTTGTCTCAGATTAGCAAACAGAAGTGTTTTGTAATTTGCTGTGTACATGCATGGCCTGCATGTTACCATAAATTTAGAAGCATGATTCCCGGCTTGTTGCTCCAGAACGTCTGAAAATCCTAGGGCTGTTTCTATTTGGAAGTTTTCAGCATTGTTGTGTGTTGTGATCATCACTTTAAAATTGGAACATAGGGGGGCCTGCAGTTGCTGAGCTACACATACATGTGTACATTTACGAATTTAAGTCCACATACGATGTTTGGCAGAACCATGAACTGTCTTGCAAGATCAGTGTTTTAGCCAGAAGGGTATCTGGGCATCTTCTGAACAACCTGTGTCGGCCATTCTGGATTCCTTGTTTTGTTACCTGTGTATATGTAAAGGGGGGAAAAATGGCACACTGAGGGGGAACTTGGAAAAACAACCAAAACCCCCCAAATCTCTAACTAAACCAAGGATCTTTGAGGTAAAAGTCGCAGGTAAACTAATTAATAAGGACACAGACATAAAAACAAAAGGCAAAAGGATTATTTACAGAAACAACCAGATGAAAAATCAACCACTTCCTCTGAACCTAAAAAAACAATGACAATCCAATAAAATTTGACCAAAACCAGAGATTTAGTAATGGAGAACTTAAAAACCCAACAAGTTAAACCAAAACTAATTAACCAGCACAGTCTGTCAAATGGACCTTATGAGCCTACATCAGACTTCAGTCTGTAAAAAACAAGAAAAGAATGTTAAGAACATAAGAAACAACAAAATCTCTTGTGCATAAACTACATGTACAAACTGGAATTGAGAGCAGGGATTAACATGTCATAAATCTAAAATTGTGCGCAGGCCTATGGACCTCATTAAGTATTCAAATCCCTTGGCATGTCCAAATAAACAACCAACTAAGGACAAAAGGACAACAAAAGGCATGTTCTGAGGCAAATGGGTGAAAATGCTAATACATCACTGATGCACTTAGACCAAAAAAGAGTAAGAAATATGGGCAAAATTTCAGAAATACAGATCTAGAAGTTATGCATGTAAGTGATATACGCGGACAGTGTAAGCTTTCTTTACATAAAACTTGACAAAGATATTCATTGACAGCCAAGGAAAACTTCAATGAATCAGGAAACTCATTTTAGAAAAAAGGTGGACAAAACTGGCAAAAATGTTTAGAAACTGGATAATGCTTAACAAGGAAAGAGGAAAAAAAATTACTTTATACATGAACTAGAAAAGTTTAGAAAGTCGCCACTGACTTCTAGGAGACTCAGGCTCAAGCAGAAAACCACACTCCAGTTAGGAGGAACAATACATGTATGTAAAATTGACTGGTACCTAGCAGATCTGCTACACTGAGTGTGGCCAGACCATGTGGCTACATTATATAGAGGGGGAACCTGGGGCTTAAACAAATAAACAAGGGAGCACTCTACTAGAAAAATCAAGGACAACTCTAAAGCTAAACATTTTTAAAGGGGAACCACTTCTTTGTAAAACTGTGTACATGTATTTATTAATAGTCATTTCTGGCTCTGCTACTCATACATATGTAAAAAAGATTAAAACCTCAGCAACTTGGATGCTTTGTTATCACTTCAAGGCAAATGTGGACACTCCGTTTTCAAATGCTGGCCAATAATACAATGTGCAAAATTGTGCTCTGTTGCAGTGGCGTTTGATGATCCATCTGTTATAAAAATATAACTTTAAAAGTGGGGGTTGGATGGAGCTTGGTTTATTCTTTGGAGTTCACAGAATGCTGTGTACCAGCTCACAATCCGCTTCCGTCCCGGCCTTCGTGACCGCAGAAATGAACAAAAATTGCATGGTGTTTGTCTTTTCCCGCATGCCTCAGCATGTCAAAGTGTGGAATTGGTGCATTAGCGTGTGCACCTTTGGCCCTTTCAACACCTTTCATTCTTTAGTTCCAAAGCTACATGTGTGTACATGTGTGTGTAGCAAGCATTGTGTTGCTAGTGTTTGTGTGATGGATACTGTACATGGAATTCCAAGTGCAGTTCATGCATGACTAAAATATTTGGATGACACGGAGAGGCCCGACAATTCATTGTTAATTTTTTTTGGGGGGGAGGGGTTGAAGATTATCAATTTTCAGAAACAAATTTGTGGTTTTGGATGACACGTTTGATTTTCTCTAAGCAGCTTGTCTCAGTCGATTAAAACTCCCAGGAATTACCAAAAAGAAGAGGGATGATGGGCAGGACCAAACAGAGTAATACAAGGCATAGGTCACCGCACACTCAGGAATTCCACCCCCCTCGTTTTCCTTGGTGGTGGAAACATTCACTTATTAAAGCAGTTGTAAGGGTATAAATATACCAAATAACATGCACCAGACTGTTTTTCTGTGCCTGGCACAGTGCATCTGTTCATGGGGGAGCACCTTCTCAAGTGTAGCTATCCCTTGCCTGCAAAAGCATATGCCTGAATACTTTTGGGTATGTGGACAGAACTCCTGTTTCACTACTGCACTTTTACCGGCTGTGCGTCGGTGCGTCGGCCGATAACACAGCTGTGCCTCTCCCTTGTAAACTCAAGTTCAGTTGCCCCGAGTAGCTTGGAACTTGCACAGCTGATGAGTCCTAAACAGGTCCTAAAATGCATTCTGTATCACCCGAGGAAATGAATACATTTCCTGATGTCCAGCCCACTCCTCAACACCCAAGGGTCATTCCACAAGTGTCAGACCCCCATTGACATGTGAACTCTTCATTTCTTAAGCCTGGTTCTAAGTTGGTCGGTTGGAAAAGTGGCTTGGATGAAAAAGCCATTCTCTGCGCACACGTTTTCATTCTCAGTTGCATTATACATGGAGCAGCTGATTTGGATAGAGGCATAGTTTCCAGATCCCTCAGGCTAGTGCTGGTTGTAGTTGACCTTTAACCTTCCTTAGATTCATCTTCCACTACAGGGATCCAATATCCAGGTTTAACTTGACTGGATAGTTAGCTTAAATAAGAGGGATTGTTATTGGGATAGCGTGTTAACCAGTACTCCCCCCTTTAGTTTTTCCTTGGTAAATTCGCCAGTGCATAAAAATTGGCATTTTGCATGAGGATGATTCACAATGTAACTCTGTGTCACCAAGGGGTTGCCTTTCCATATTACAAGGCTAACACCTGCCATACACAGACTTTATCCTACTCTGTGTCATCTTCCCGTTTGCTTTGGGAAATTTCTTGTTTAAATTAGGCTTTTCAGTAGCAAAAAATGTTGAGTCTTTTTTTGCACAAGGAACACCATTTGGTGCATGGTGGACGAGCTTTTCTTATAATTCCCCAGAGGCCAATGCATAAACTGTTATTATTAACCCCCCCGGGTTTACTCGGAAGAAACGCTGTCAATGCATGGTTTAAAAACAAATTGTGGAGATTTCTAATGATAGAATTTGATGACACATCACTCACTTCAGCTCTTCTCAATGGGAATTTTTTTTTTCTAGGTTCGCTTTGGCACCCTGGATCCAAGGAAACTGGAGGACGTCACGCAGTCCAAGTTTGTCGACGGCCGTTACGTAAACCCATGGGACACCTGGAGGGAGCCCTCTGCGGGCAGTGCCCTCAAGTTCTTCTGCATGCGCAGCCACAGTGGAGTGCCCTCCAAGGAGGTACTTGGCTATTAAACACAGAGACTTACATGTATGTTCTGCTACCTGAACCTGTCAGAAGCAGCTTCAGTGGGTCCCATGCAGGGTTTCCAACTCTAATGCATTCAGCTTAACAGGTTGAGACTCGGGATATAATCAGTTCCATTTCAGTGTTACACGTAACATGGGTGAAATTTCATGGGAGAGGGAGCACACACCTTTTTTTTGTCTGGGGGCACCAAAAGCTGATCTACTGTGACTTGTACGTGGCTTATGTACCTTTCAAAATTTCAAAGGGAGCACGGACCACTGCCTCTAATTCCCCCTTCTGTAGTTATTCTCTGGTTATGCTTTGAAATCATGCGGGATTTCACACTTGCATATAAATGGATGGAACAGTGACAGAAACCATATCAACGGGAATAGTTTGCTCAACCCTGCTACATGTATATCCCATCCTGTTAGCTTGATTCTGGTTGAAGATACAAGGATTTGATTGGCTTTTAGTGCAGTGGTGATAATGTCATGCATTTTGTGTGAGTGGGGCATACATGCAAGTCTGAGTCCAACACAGAGCTATGGCTACATTTGTTAATATCACTTTGAAATCATACTCAAAATTGTCAGCCCTGAATACCAAGGTTGAGACGGCTGATGATGCTCTGGAAAAGTGCAAGGAAGCTTCAGGTGTGTATGGAATTACTCTTGCAATAGCCTTGTCGGATTTTACGTCGGCTCTGTACGTGTATATATTGTGGAGCTTTGCCTGCATACCTGAATTTCAGGTGAAAACATCAGAGCCCACCAATATCCTTAAAATTTGCTGATACAGCTCTGTGCTGACACACCAGCAAGCTTTCAATCATGTTAGCTCTTTGGCCAAATACCCAACCCTTGGGGGAAAAAAACAACAAAAAAATACACCCTTCCTACCCAAGACTCAAGGATGAGGGAGGGTAAAAAATTCCCCCTAATTTTGTCAGTATCAGCAAAATCTGTGTTCTTGTCAGCAAAATCAGTCAACTGTCGGCAAAATAATCCACCAAGATCAGCATTGCATTGTGTCAAATGATGCCCAATCCTATCCAGCTTGAATTTTTTGCCCCTTGTGCTGGATAATTGTTTTGCATGTTTCATTTCCAAAGAGCAGATAAAATTGATGCGTTTAATTTGATTTCTTAAAGAGGTATGCAGTCTCATTGCTAGATAAACATGTATAATGTTTTCTAGACTTTTCATTTCAGCTCTTCTTCCTTGAGACAAAATTCTAGGTACTTCAAAACATTTTATTCATACTTTAAGACGAGCTTTGCTGTTGAGCACAGACTTTGCTAAGCCTTGAACATTGGGGATTGAGTGCATATTTGTGGTTTTTTTTCAGTTGCCTGTAATTCATAGCATCCTTTCGTGGTTGTGACTCATTTCCTCAGATGTGGTCACATTTGGGGAAAATTTGTGGACTAGAATCAATCCATGTTATCTTGCAGCTTCATAGTTCAACACCCCCCCCGAGTGTGTTAGTGATGAAAGAATCTCACAATTAGCACTCGTATCAGTCATGACAGTTATCGTGTCAAAAACTCAAACACGTTTGTGATTAGACCAACACCCAACCCAATCCCAAACCTTGAACCCCAATCGCTAAGCTGCGACAAACCAAAACTTAAGCCCCAACCAACAGACAGTGACTACGGCTGATGTCATTAATTTAATCACAGAATGTTGTCAGTATGACTCCAACTTGTCTATGCGGATAATTTCAATTATGATTTTGTGGCTTTACTACAAATGGAAAGGAAATTTGCACTTGAAGGCATTTCTGTGGTTCGATGTTTGCAGGTTCTCGAGCAGACTCTACCTGTGCTGACTCCCGACCCTAGTAAAATTGACACACCACCCACGTCTGGCATCAATGTGACCTGGATTGGGCATGCCAGCCTGCTGGTCCAATTTGATGGTGTCTCCATCCTGACTGATCCCATCTTCAGCAGCTTCTGCGGGCCCGCCTCTCTGGTCGGCTACAAGCGCTTTCGGCCGGTGCCCTGCACCATAGGTCAGCTGCCCAGGATCCATGCTGTGGTCATCAGCCACTCCCACTACGACCACCTGGACCTACCGACGGTGCAGGCATTGAACAGCCGCTTTGGTAGTGACCTGCGGTGGTTCGTGCCCCTGGGGATGAAGGATTGGTTCACCAGGACCGGGGTGGAGGACGTCATTGAGCTGGACTGGTGGCAGGAGAACTGCATCCCGACTCATCCGAAGGTGACCTTTGCCTTCACTCCCACCCAACACTGGTCCATGCGCACCGGCTTGGACAGGTGCAAGAGCCTGTGGGGGAGTTGGTCCGTCATCGGACCCAACCACAGCTTCTACTTTGCCGGGGACACAGGCTACTGCAAAGCCTTCAAAGAGATTGGGCAACGGTACGGCCCATTTGATGTAGCTGCTATTCCGATCGGAGCTTACAAGCCAAGGTACTTCAGCTTAACGCACTTGTACCAATAGATCTAGTTCCCTTCACATTTTATGTAACGTAGTTGATTGTAGTCTTACATTTTTCCTCAACTGTTCCAACTGGCTGAAGCAAATTCAAATGTGGAGAAAGAAACCTGAGATGAACATTAGTCCCTGAATATATGCCTAGCTGATTTATTCACATCCTCACATTTAACATGCACATATGGGGGGGGGATATTTTCTGCCTTTTCAGTGGGTGTCATCACGTGGATGCCCAGACACCCACCCAAGATGGCTATTGGGGTTACCGGGTTCCCAAACCTACCCTGTAAAAATCCTCTGCCCTGATTGACCTTTTGTCTTTCTGCTAGGTCCTTCCTGGCTCCGCAGCACGTCGACCCGACCCAGGCTGTACAAATCCATTTAGACGTCCAGGCTAGGCAGTCAGTGGCCATCCACTGGGGCACCTTTAGGTTGGGGAAGGAGGTAGGTCATAGAGTAGGACTGTAAGAGGTGGCTGTCTGCCTTAGAAGTGGAGTGACCCAAAGAAACTCACATTCCTCTTGCCTATATCTGACAGTGTTTTAGTCGAGACCACTTAAGACCTTCACAAGACCTTCACAAGACCAACACAAGACCTCCAGTCTGAATTCAAGTCACAAGCTATTCACGTGAACTGCAACAAAAAGCATTCACTTGTCATCGTTCACCCTGTTATTTGTGACCGGTCTTGTGCGTGGTCTTGTGATGGTCGCGACTACAACACAGATATCAGATCTTCACATGTAGATTTGGCAGAGCACTGGGGAAGCAGTGTTTATCCCCTTAGAATAGCTAGTGTATGTCTGCATAAATTGGTTTATACCATTGTTCCTTTACTTTCTTTTCACGAAAAGGAAGGAATTTTTATAATGTGACCCTCTTGGCTCAGTGGGTTATGTTGTATTTACAGGCATGCAGTGGCGAGAGAGTCTCTGTACAGCCTGGTTTCCGTATCGATGTGAGACACAAAGGGCATCGCCGATCCGTCCTTAATGATGCATAGTGACATGGAAACATTTTATTCTGATTAACCTACATGTAAACAGAAGTGCAGACTGTTGGAAAAGTTGGAGCAGGTTCAACTTTGCCAACTGTTTGCGTTGAGTCGCTGAATAGGCCTATACAAACATGCATGCTGGTATGAAGGGCGCACAGTGATGTTTCTCTGGCTTAGTACCATTCATTTTGTCCATTTTCCCCTTATTACTAACTTATTCAGTCCCAATTGTCAAAAAAATAGCTGATCATAAGCAAAATACATCAAACTGGGGTATCAGTTTGCCTTTAAGGGGTGGCATTGCCCACTAAAAAAGGCATTCTAAGCAAAAGGTTTCCACGTTTTGGCCGCCACTTTATCTAATTTATTGGGGGTGGAATGGCATCATACAGCATCTGTTCTGTGACTGTCTGAGCCGTGATGTTTTGCATGCCGTCGGCATTCATTACGATCATAAGGAAACCAGGCTTGAGGCATGCAGGTTTGCAATCAGATGTTTGCTGAAAGTTTAGGGAGGGGGACACATTTAGGGCATCCCTGCCAGAGGTGGTACACCAGCACGGCTTCACCAGTTCTTGTCTCTTGCCAGCACTACTTGGCCCCGCGAGAAGACCTCAAGATCGCTGTAGAAGAAGTGGGTCTCGCAGGGTGGGACTTTTCCACCCTGAAGCACGGTGAGACCAGACTGTTTGCAGAGGAAGAGGATCAGACAGTCCTGTCAACTTGATCAGATCATTGGGAAGTTTAGCCGTGGCTGAGGCTTAGCACAGTGGTATTTCTAATGACACGCAGCTTGAGCCGAACAGAATGGAAGTAATGATTGAGATCTACTTGCTCAGCTTTTGTTTCCCCAACCTTGAACTAATTTCCGATTTGTCATAAAGTTAATGATTGGGTTAGCATTTGAGAACATTTAACATGTGTATGTGTCTACTGTTTCACTCTACAAGGAGATTCACACACACAAATGCAAAAGATGCTCCCACAAAGTTCATTGTGTTACTACACTGGCCAAGGTTCAGGCTTAATTAGTTTTTAAGGTGTTCAAGTGCTGCAAGTCTTCTTTGGTAATTGTTATACCTCAGTCTTGAATATTATATTTTCATTTGCCCGGAATGATCATGTGACTAGATGATAAAGATGCATAGTACCACCCCCATATCACACATAGACTCACAATCTTATCCATAATGCAGGGATTGCTAACCAGACTGTTCATTGGTACCTCTGTTACTTTCACCTACATGTGGATGCAGTTGCTAATAGTGAACTGCACTGAGAGCAGTGTAGGGGCATAAGATCCGATCAGGTGTTGAAGTGCTACAAGTTTTGTTTTGTCAGTAGTCAAACTTGTTTTCTTCGTGAAAGTTTCATAACATGTCTTCTGATCTTGAAGATGCATACAGATTCTCCCCATAAACAGGGTGTGAAACATGTAACAATATCACTTCCAGGCAAGACATTAGTGACCAACACAAACCAATACGGCGATGTACCGAGGGCGTCATACATCTTTCTTTTGTAGCAGTGGACCAAGACACTTGTCATTTCAATTCAATTCCAGACCTGCAGGTGTGGAAACTATTGCACAGAATTCAAGATAGAGGTATAACAAAACAATTGTTGACTGCTATGATGTAGGATGTGATGTTTTAACTCCTGAGGGTCTCATAACACCCTCGACTTCGCTTCTGACACTGTGCATCCCCGAGTGTATTGAAACATAAGCAGTCAGTTATTGTTAACTGCCACTAAGGAAATAGAAACTTGTGCCAAATCCAGCTGCCTATTTTAAGCAATCAGAAATGACAAAATCATGCTGCTCCGGTGGGAGTTAGGGAGGTGGGGGTTATGTTTTTTCAAGTGTTCAATATTTTAAACATGCACAAATAGTAATACTTATGCTTGTTCTGAGTGGATATGAATTTCTCAGATGTACAAAGCAAAGCATGCATTTCTAGTGAAATGTCGCCCTGTGTATATACTTTATTTTCAAAATTTACTCACATGTAAATAACACAGATGTTTCTTATTGCTGAGCTACAGAAAAGGAGTGGTGATGCATTTGGTATTTGTGAAGCCTTTGTAATTAAGTGTTTTCAGCTTAAGCGTGTAATCTGTCTACAACTGTAGACGCCTCTCTTGTCATGTTGTATTTCCATAGAATCTGCCAGGCTTTGCAGGGCCGAAATCTGACTAGGTTTGAATCTTTACTCCCCATCTTTGGGCAATTTAAACATTAGTCGGTGTCATTTTTCCATGAAATTGATTTGGCTGGTTTGCCGTAGGAGTGAGTTGTGGAGCGTGGTATGCAAAATAAAAAAAAGGCTAAATGTTTGTGTGGTGCTGCCTTATTAGTGGAAGAAAAAAAAAGATATTTACCGGTTACCGCCTTGCTTTTAAATAACACAGCATTTTAAATTATCTTTTGAGTGTGTATATATTGGTCATATATAAAATCATTTTATATCTGCGTTTCAATGGCAAAATCAACATAATCAACTCAATGTTTGCTTGGGGTTCTTGCAGTTGCGTAATTAGAATGCCATATGTAACGATAGTTCCGACTGTTCAGTGGTTTTAAGTGTTTATTTCTTTTGTTGATGCAGCTTGTTAAAACATTAAAAAGCATTGTATCGGTAGTTTAACCTGTTTGAAGTAGATAATTTTCATATGGAACCCAGTGTGTGTACATTCCAAGAAGTTGCTCTCAGCGGGACAACTTGCACGATGCTCCTTAGGTGAGGGGTTAAATTAAACATTCCTTAAATGTAACTGCAAATGTTTAGAATTGCTTTAATGTGAAACATTTTAATCGGCCAACATTTTTTTATATCAGATTTAAAATTCTTGTTGATGTTATTTGAAAAATGAGCAGTTTTACAAAAAAGTGAACGCCGGAAGCCTTTCAAAAACTCTCCAGAGAAGTGTTGCTGGGAAACCACAGTGGTTTGGAACATACATGCACGTAGTACTCTTGGACACAGGTCCCCTTTAATGGCGCCCTCTGGTGTTCGAGTATAACGTGCATTTGGAATTTTCTCAGGCTGAAATATAGGCCCCTGTGTCGCTTGCTGTGGTCTGTAATGGCATAGAAAGGTCGTTTTAATGGGGGGAGGGGACTTTGAGAGGTACACTCTGACAGGTGACACTGTCATCAATCCTGGTATAATCGGAAAAGCTAGAGGTCGCGTTAGTAAACGGCGGTTTTATAAAACAGGCATGCAGTGGTTAGACACTTGTTAAAAGGCACTTACAACATATAGGAAAGGGGCTTTAAATGCCAGTTCAGACTGGACTTCAGAAAATATCTGAATGAATTCCCCCAAACTCTCGGAACTAATTTAGTTTTATGATAAAGTGGAAATCTTATGTATAAACATATTGTTCAAAACTGTTCACAAATTGAGTAATTGAATGGAAAAGGTATATATTGCTATTCTTGTTTATTTCAATTTATATCTGGCCACTTTACCTTTCAGAATCCTATCCTCAGTTGTCTGTTGGCAGTTTCTACAGCTTTGAGCAGCCAAACACGAGTTTTTAAAGAGTCAGCATGGTAAAAAAAAAGATGGTTAGGGACACATGGCACACCCTGCTCAAGCTCTTCAGTATTTCATACCGGTAATTGGAAAAATTGCATGTTTTCCAAATGGATGTATCTCATTTTGGAAATAAACGCTACTTATATTTCTATTTAAGTTCAGTTTTTTCCTTTTGTTTGAGTACTTTTACTCTTTCGTGCCCATCTGCTGTACTTATTAAATATTCTCATTTACGGTGGCCTGGTCACAGTTTTTTTGTTGGCCTCCAGACTTGTATTGCAAATGCAATGTCCGTATGTTATCTTTATTGAAATGAATGGAAATAAATCCAAATCAAACCCTCTATTCCTCGAATAATACACGACTGGTTTGTCGGCAATCTGCAGTCAAATCAAACTTCTCCTCCCCACCCAGGCGACGCCCATCGGTCGTTTCTGATAGACAGATAGATTGCCGCTTACGTGCTGTGCTGTACGGAGAGGAGTGCATGGCTAGACTTGAATCAAGTCGGACTTACGTTCCTCTTCCTTAGCCATTCCTTCAGCTGGTACGCACCACAACACGGTCGTTGGGCTCGGCCCTGACTTGAATCAAGTCGGACTTACGCTAAAAATTCCTTCAGCCCATACCGCGGTCTTCGCGCTCGGCCCGGCAGCCTTAATTTTGATAGCCTTTATTGTACAACGTGTGTCAAATTAAACGTCACCAGTCAGTGAGTCCGACTTGACGGATAAGCCAATCGGACCCCGTCGGTGATATGTACTTATTCACAATTGCATAATGTGAACAACATGATCTTACATAATGTATACGGAATTTCCACCAATCAAAGTTGTCAGACGTGTAAACTCGTTCCTTATAATCCAGGTATGAACAGCTTAAAAACAATTCTGGCAAAGTGATTGGCTGCTACCACTTTTGGTAGATGAGCCCATTCGCAGCTGTGTACAGACGGTTGGCAGGTTCGTCAAGTCGGGATTTCAGAACTGAACTCATCGTAATAAGTGAGTGGACAAAACAGGGCGCGAAGCAAGTAACGGCGCGCGGTCTTGAGACCCATCCAAAGCAGAAACGAAGACGTCATCACATCCCGACTTGAGTCAAGTCTATGCAGTTACTAGTCAACGCCATGAAAGCTGCGCTGGACTTCCCGGTTGAACTGCAAATTCCACAAGGGTGTGGACGTTAATCATTCACCATCCGTGCCTCCATGGAACAAAACTGATCGAGTCTTGAAAGATACTCCATTTCTCTGTCACAAATGTTACCGCCTTTATACATGTACTTGAAGATGACCAGTGGAGCAAAAAATTGAACTTTGTGAACTGAAGCGTCTACATAACGAACTTGTTAATTAACAGTTACAATACATGTAAATTAGAATCGTATAACGGTAGGCGATCCTACAGTTCAGCAAGTGACGTAGGAAAATTGGTAGTACAGGTAACCAAAGCAAAATTACTGGTGTTGTAACCGTCTTTGGTATTCTTCTAAGCTATACCATATACATGTATACAGCTGCCCCTGTTAAGTAAGCTTACCTCATTCACATGGCATGTGACTTCATGATCAATCATGCCTCCATAATAATTACACATCACTTTAAGTAGCAGCTCATTTTCAAACAATTGGTAGGGCGGAGGTTGTGTCTGTGTTTAACAGCTCATCGTTTCCACAGTTTCCACAATGCAGGGCGTGTCTTGGATTTATCAACTTCTAATGCGTCATTAGCCTTTTTGCAGACGGGGGAAGTGGCATAACTGAGGTAAATCATAATCAACTTCTGAGGGAATATCCTCGGTGTACATTTCTTCCCAGGGACCTTGCAAGGAATACGGGGATGGGTGCGAACACTTGAATGAATTCCATACATGGACATATAATATGCATTAGTTTAAAGCGCAGCTCACTTAGGAGATAAACTTCTTTTGATGGAATTTTTCACTTTTCAGTATTTTGCTGAACAGCATATTCAGGAGACCAATTCAAGCCGTGCCACTGTTTCTCCATCCTTTATTGTGTGAGCTTATTATAAACATTACTTCATGGGGAATTCTAATTGCGTTGCAACACAGGGGTTTCCCGAACCTCGTCCCCAGTGCGGCAAGCAGTCTTGTGATTAGCTATGGCTGCTTGCCACGAGATTGAGGTTGGCGCGCTGGAGATACCGTTGACCTTTGTGTTTGATACAGCCAGAGCCATGATATGATGCACTTGTGTGTATGTGACGTGCGTGCACGACAATCGCATGTACTACGTATGTACATGAACGACTGACTCATCAGACTTCATCGGCGTCACACTCGCCGTTGTCAATGTGAAGGTCTCAGCTTGTGCCATTTTTGAAGTCCACCGCTGCTGCTTTTGTGGCTCGTTTTGGGGAGGCCACTCTTGGCTCAGCTCGAGCGTGCGATCACCTGGGGAAAATGGAGGATGTTACAAGATCACAACAAGTGAATGGGCGCTTCGTGAACCCTTGGGACACTTGGAGGGAGCTGACTTTGACAAAGGCTTTCAAATTCTTCTTCACGGGGAACCAGCCCGTTCCATCTAGTGAGGTATAACATTTCTAAACTATGTCTTGTGGCGATCATATTTTCCACTCTTACCCACGGCCAAATCCAGAGACACTATAGTGAAGATTACAGGACAATGATTATATTCGTAGTTTTCATTGGATACGTAGTGATTCACGTAGGCCTACATTATTACCAGCAGTGGTTAACACTTGCACCTGTACTGTGTACGTTATGTTTGCACAGAATACGTTTTCCATCCAGAAAGCTTTGCGTATCCGCCACCGTCTTGACAGGGAATAGTGGGCCTACTCCTGAATATGGCAACGGGTACAAGCTCATTCAAAAATGTTTTATTTCATTACTTCATACTGTTGTGATAAAACACTTTATTTTCTCAAGCAAGGTGTTATAATTAGCAAAGATATAATGGTTTCATAAGAAAACAATGGTTTAATAATGTGCTTGGCAGGTCTTAAACGTAACGTGTGTTAAGACCATTGATCTCCATTATATAGACTGGATAGGACATCGTATCCAAAACGCGTCCCGCGTATGCGTATTCTCAGGAGGGTAAATAACGAGCGTTGCGAATTTCGTTGCGTGTACTTTCAAATGGAGTTTTTCAAAAGCCGATTGAAGTTTTTGTGCTTCAAGTTTGCACTTAAAGTTTGTTCCAAATGAGCGATAGCATCGATTATAAAAAAATAAATAATACAAATTAACCAGTTCAATAAAGCCCTATTTGAACTGCTCCTGACTCGACCTCATCATGGACGCACCCTTGTAGGCAGTGTTCCGAACATGACATCATGGCTTCCCAAATTATTTGTCTTTGTCGAGTGAAAACACCTCAGTCCTGAAGTGTTTGTTTCTTTGAAATCTATGCATAAACAAACAAAACAAATAATGTCAATGAAAAAACTGAGGGCAAATTCTTAAACAGAATTGTTTCTAATAAAAAGCTCGTACTAATAATGACGACTAGGTTCCGGAATTTGATTGGGAACCGAGCATAGGCTTAGGCCTATGCATTTTGTTTGGACAACCAGTTGTATTGTCAAAACCCAATAAATAAAAGTCTCTTTATATGCCAAGTTTAGTACATGTATTCAAAATCCCTTTCACATTGGTCACTGTTAAAAAAATGAAACTTGCTGGTGAAAGGCAAGTCAAGCTGCGCGGTTATTGACAGGACTGAGGGCATCCAACGGCTGTGCAAATCCGAACATTTTTTCAACAGAGAATCTTGAGCAACAAACTCTTCAGCCAGACTAATTTCCCCGTACACATCACAGCATAAGTGTCGCGCGCTCGCCGGTCTGACAACCGTAATTCAATACGGCCGTTTCACAATAGTGCGCCACCAAGAGTTTGCATCACGTTGGCCAATCACAATGCGCGAAATTTGTCCACCCAATGCGCATTTGGAAACGGTTGACAAATTTCGCGCGTTATGATTGGCCAGCGCGTTGCAAACTCTTGGTGGCGCATTATTGTGAATCGCCCGTATTTTTCAAATCCTCACCGATGAAACGCGTGCATACACAAGATGGAGGGCGCCGTGTCCTGCCAGTCTTTATGGGATCAATGCTCGTATCCATGTGCCAGCACGTGATGTACACAGCGGGAATTATTACTTCTCAGCTTGCATTATCAACTGTTAATACACGGTCACGTGACGCGTTTTGCCCAATAGGAAAAGAAAAACTCTCCCTTGTATTTATGAATTGCTGTTGAATTGCCTTTTGAACCCAATTCTTTGCTTAAGTTGCTCAATTAAGAGTAAAATGTTACATTTAACCTATCAAATGCTGGATTCAACACTTTCAAAGTACGGTCACTGATATGCTACATCCAACACAGGAGTTTTATTTTCAGAGTGATCATGTCATGGTGTTGAGGGACTAACGATTTAGACAAATAAGACGTTGACAATATTCAGTATTTTGAGATGTGAAAAAAGATAGAGACAAAGTTTCGAGTCAAAGCTTATAGCTTTGGTAATCTATTTCGCTGAAAATGCCATTGGGATGTTGCAGGTTCTTGATCGGGAACTCCCGGTGATGAAACTAGACCCCAGCAAAATCACGCAGCCGCCCATCTCCGGTATTAACGTGACATGGATTGGGCACGCTAGCATGCTTGTCCAATTCGATGGTGTCTCCGTCCTGACCGATCCCATCCTCAGCGACACCACCGGTCCTGCTTACCCGGTCAGTTATACACGCTACCGGCCGGCGCCCTGCAGTGTCTCCGATCTGCCGAAGATCCACGCTGTGGTCATCAGCCACTCCCACTACGATCATCTAGACCACCCTACCGTGAAGGAGCTCAACGACCGCTTCGGCAGTGACCTGTGGTGGTTCGTGCCTCTTGGGTTGGAGGATTGGTTCAGAAGCACCGGGGTAGAGAACGTCATTGAGATGGATTGGTGGGATGAGAAGGTCATCCCGTCGCTCCCCGAGGTGACCTTTGCCTTCACTCCCACCCAACACTGGTCCATGCGCACTGGCTTGGACAAGTGCAAGAGCCTGTGGGGGAGTTGGTCCGTCATCGGACCCAACCATAGGTTCTTCTTTGCCGGGGACACAGGCTTCTGCAAAGCCTTCAAAGAGATCGGGCAACGGTACGGCCCATTTGACGTGGCTGCTATCCCAATTGGAGCGTACGAGCCGAGGTAATAATAAACATCGTTTGTTCTAGGTTGAAATAACCCTCTGCTTTAACAAGCTGTTTTATTTTCCATTTTACTTTATGATGAGGTGATGTTGAAGGCTAATCTCAGATTTCTGTGATTCACGTTGTAACGAAGTATAAATATCGACCATATTCCCAACTTCACCCACAGCTGTTGCATTGACAAACTCTAAAAATATAAGCCGTGCACGGAACTCAAACATTCGAATGGAAGTGCTTCAAACAGTAATAGGCATGAGTGGGGCCGGCTACGTGCAGAGTGTCGTTCTCAGTTGTAATTCAGCACTCGGGACTCACGCACCATTCAGTTTCAAGAAAATAGGTCAGAAAACCTGACAAGTTCCGGTAGTCTAGGTCCACGCATAAATGGAATAATCGGGGGCGACGCCACTATAATATTGTGAACATTGTTAACTTGAGGTGCACGAAACCTTCTGTATAACCTTATACATTTGGTGGAGCGCCTGTAGTGAAGTAGCCTGAAGGAACAGCTGTGTAAAAATTTAGGGCTGAGAACTGTTAAGAAGCTATTGGCTTGTCTCCCAGGTCTGTCTTAGAGCCGCAGCATGTCGACCCGTCCCAAGCTGTGCAGATCCATCGGGATATCCGGAGCAAGCAGTCGGTTGCAATCCACTGGGGAACGTTTCAGATGGGAAAGGAGGTAGGTTCTATGGGCGAAAATCCCTGGTTGGTAAGAGTATATATCCCCACTCCTTTTTGAGATGGGGAATGGGCTATTGAATCATTCCCCCACACTTTTTGTTTTGGTAATCCAAAAACTATATCGGATTGTGAAGAATTTTTCAGACTTCTAACTGCTGAAATGCATTCCCTGTCACTCAAAAAAGGAAACCAATTTTAAAAAGTCATAAATATGACATTCTGAATGCATATTACAGATGTGCATCCATATCATGAGTATCGACCTCTATATAAAGTCATATGGTGTCCACCCCCCACGCTTGTCAAATTTTCATGGCTGGGAAAGTCATCCTTCCACCTTTTTCCACCTTCACCTTTACGCCGCTGGACTGGAAAATCTGTGTGTGACCCCAAAAGAAGGCACTCTAAGCAGCTGTTATGCCTGACGCGCTGCTATGTGGGAATCTGAATCTAAACCGGCCTGACAATTTCGATTTTCTGGTAACCACATGCGATCCTGTATGTCCACGTTTTCTTTCCTCAGCTGCAAATTATGAATATTTTCGTTTGATGAAAGGGGATGTTGAGCCCTCAGGTAACCCATAATTTTTGACGCCCCAACTGCTGTATCTGTCCTAATTATGGACGGGACAATCTCAACTGTGGTGCTCACGGGGGATACGTACGGGATATGCTCTTACCACACATCCCTTGCTACGCCTAAGGAAGTGGGCCCTATACCCCTTGACAGCCCTGTATATAAAAAAACCCAGCCCGGGAGGTATTTTTCGTCCACACTTTACGCATAATTTCAGCAACGATTCTCCGTCTTTCTTCAGCACTACTTGGCTCCGCCGGACGACCTGAAGAAGGCCCTGGAAGAGGCTGGTCTAACGGACGTGAACTTCTTCACCATGAAGCACGGCGAAACCAGACATTTAGCGGGTAAAGAAGACGGGACAGCCTAATAAATGCCCGGTTTAAATCTCGGTGTTCAAACTTGTTGCACGGGGCAAAGGCTGCAGTGAGCACAATGTTCTAAATAATGTATCATACATCTAAACCACCAAAACACATTGTTGAAATGATCAGGGGACAGAGCATTACAGTTGTATGTTACGTGAAATTTTCATGACTGTGACAGAACACGACAGTTTTGCTACGAAGGTTTCATGTAAAAAATTGCCATAGGAAAGCGCACGAACACAAAGCGTGACGTAATTATGTTTAAGGTCAATTTACAATACTTCTTTATGTTTCCGAGGTATCTCTGAAAGACTTTCAGATATATCCAAATTTATTTCGAGATATCTTTTAATTTATGTAAATGTGTCTCGAAATCCATTCGAAGATGTATCTAAATTTAAATTTCAGAAATCTGATATTTGCGAGTCTATTTTGCGGTTTAAATAAATTTATTTCAAGATATCTTAAACCTTTTTCATGTTTTTCTTACGTTACCTGTATTGATTTAAGATATATTTCTTAATGTCAAATTATCTCCGAATCCATTTCGAAATATATAGATTTCATTGCAAGATATCTCGAAATCCCTTTTAAAGTCTGAAACTTTTATATACATATAAGCAGTTATCGTTTCCGTTAAATTCTCTTTTCATGGCAAAACTGTGCCAACGAAGTGGAAAGGATTACATAGAAAAATCATTTCGGGATATCCAGAGAAATCATTTCGGGGTATCCAGAAAATCGATTCCAAGACGTCTTGATATTTTTTTCTTACTTAAGCGGAGACAGCTGTGAATGCACTTATAACGTTTTTAATTGATGTGAATAACACTCTCACGTCTGTGTGCCATACCAAGTTTAACAATTACTACTGCAAAATGAAACAAGTTAGAGAGCCATGCGCTGGAATCGAAAAGTCCGGCCCTCTCACATTTAAAAAAAAATTAAAATCCATTATACCAGACATTTCGCTGTCTTGAAGAGTATAACCCAACTGCCTGAATGGTGACTTAAAAACGGGTCTGCCTCGTTTTTTTGTGAATTATAGATCTATTTCTGTCTATAGTGTAAAGTTAGTTGCGAACATTACTCTTTAGACATCTAAAACAATAACAAAGAACCATAGGTAGAATGAGACCGACTTCGATACCAATATTGTGAACTATACAAATTTCCCACACGAGTTTGGTCTTCTCCTACCTCACGTTGTTGGTGTAAGGTGGTTAAACGTAGGTGACCTGCACTTTGATGTGTGGTTTTTATCGATTCCGTCGGTTGTCTGAAATTTTCCAATGAATACGTATGATAAGCGCCAGCACGTATGCAACGAGGAGTAACAACATTGGGTATTTAGAAAGGGGGGGGGAGGGGATACCATCATCTTGGCGGCTTCTGGTGGTGCAATTGAGATTCAATCATTTTAATTCTACTCGCATGGCGCAATTCTGTGCTCATGCCAGGGGCACTGCACTATCCACACGCATTTCAACTACTTCACTGACAACACACAGCTAGCAGTCCGGGCAGACGAATAGAACTAATTGAAAATAATATCACAAATGACGAGGATGGTATGAGACAGGTTGGACTAAAAGAGATGAGATGATGACGGTTATAAAGAAACTGTGGCCTAGGCAGTGTAGAAATACTGCTTGGACAACGAGACTTGCAGGCAAACTTAAGAGCTGTGGTGTCTCTGAAAACAGGCTGAAAACTACAATCTACGATGTCAAACTATACACAAACCGTGGGAGTTGTTTCCACGACATCTGTCTATACCAGCTATATCGAAAGGCAGTTCTTAGCAGCCATTTACGGTCTTATTTCATTCGCCGGTGTGCTAGGAAACTGCGCTGTCTTACTGGCCGTGGTTCTCTCCCGTAGACCTCGCACCGTCACCAACGTTTTCGTGGTCAACTTGGCCGTGGCGGATCTCATCACGTGTCTGAGTATGCCCATCTCGATCTTGGCTGCTCTGAGTGAGAGCAGGGAAGAGCTGCTCGTCTCTAGAAATCTGTGCGCGTTTCAAGGGTTCGTGCTCATCGTTTGCATCGGCTGCAGCCTGAATAATATTGCCGCAATCGCCGTCTATCGCGCCTTGATCACCCGTCGGCAAAACTCGAGCCGACTCCGAGCGCTGTTCAGTCGCCGCGGCCTGGCAGTCATGGTTTCTACAAGCTGGCTGATCCCGTTTGCTGTCGGACTGTTGCCCATCGTATCTGAGTTCGGCTCTTATGAATACGACTTTAAACTTAGTACCTGCACGTTCAATCCCACAGCCAACGGATCCAGTACATTCTCCAAAATCATGGTGGCCCTCTACTATCCTGTGCAACTCCTTACCACTTTCGCAAGTTACGCTGTCATCTTGTACACGGTGAGAAGACACCGCCGACGAATTACTGCTGCTACCGAGCGACGCGTGGCCGTTGTTGGAAGTGCCACGATGAAGCTACCTCCATCACCCAACACGCCTGGGCCGTCGCACAAGCCGGCCTGGCAGGGTCTTTCAGCGAATGACCGGTTGCGAGTAGCGCCTGCTCACGGTCCCCTGCGGCAGCGAAGTCGGCCGGGGTCTTTTCCCGCCATCCGTCCGTCGTCACGCGCGGCTGTCGGGCCGCCTGCTCAAGGCAGACGCCATATCCATCGACAAATCAAAGTTAACCTGAGCTTGTTTCTCGTCGTCTTCTTCTTTCTGCTGTGTTTCACACCCTACTCGGTGCTGATGGCGCTTCTCAGGAATAAATCGCTAAAAGTTTTCCCCTTTCTGGGCGCCCTGGTCACATTCAACAGCTGCGTAAACCCTGTCATTTACGCGGCCCGGCACCCGGACTTTAAGACGGTCATTCGCAGCATTTTGCTGTGCAGGCCCTCCCAGATACCCATGAAATCATCATTTCTCCAGAGCTTGCTGAGCTTGCGACGTCAATGATAAACACACTACTTTGGATGCAACTTGCAGACTAATGATTTGAATGAAAGCTTGAAAAAAATTGCCATAAACTTACCCTCGACTCCATCAGATATAATAGTGAACATTCCCTTTCAGCCATGGATTTCAGAAAACGGTGCGTGAATTTTGAAGTCGGAATTATCACCGGATCCCATCACTTTAAGTCGAACGCTTATATGTATGTACACTATTTCATTGTGAAATAGATTACAATGTGTGAAGACGAACAGAGTAAAAAGTCCAAGATTAAGTTGCAACTACCCTGGTGTATCATCCACTTCCAATATCATTTAAGTAGCACAAAGGGAGAAATTAAAGAATGTTTTAATCTTGTGACATCATGATTACACCCGTAGTAACGACCGTGTGATCATGATGTCACGTTTACATGTAATAAGTGATAAGAACCGAAGTTTGGTAAATATACATAACTGTTTGGCTAGGTGTTTTAGTTTAGTGTTAGTTGTAAGTCTTTATAATGCTGTAATTACTGTTTAACTGTATTTACTGCTTTTACACTGGAAAGAGAATGTCAGCCGCTCCGAGCTGAAGTGCACCCGCAATCGGCGAAAGAAAGACAGGTGGTTACAAGCGGGTTCTTGCACGCGTTCTGCGTGTATGCAAAGACCATACATGCCGGAATAAATTAGTTATGCGTACTCAGCGTGTTCCGCGTCAAGCGCGCATATACTTACGCACCTCATGGCACACCTATGCGGGAGTACCCCCCCAAAAAACACGCCCTCTTTTGTTCCGCTCGGAGTGGATAATAGAACGTAGATCTGAATCGTACGTAAATTCATGTACGCAGACATTTTATAACACACATTTCCCCTGAATGCCTTTCGTATACCCGGTATAATAATGCACATTTGTATACTTGTTTTTGTTTCGTGTAAGTACACTATGCCATGTGGTACTCACCTACGTTGTAGGCTACCCGAAAAGAGAGTTTTTTGTTCCTGTAGGACCGAAGCAAATGTAAGCTGCTGTGAGGTTAAAAAACCAGGAGTTCACGAACTATAGTGACAATAAATAAGGGTTCAGATGATCGACTGGAAATGAGTGAACGACTCTTCACTTGTCACTGGATGTGATTATGGTGCGGTCAATGAGCCGAAGTGCCCAGTAAACAGTGATACTGACAGGTACTTCTTTGCGACAGACATCTAGGTGAAATTTTTCTCTATCACTGGAGTATGAAATCAGCAGGGAAAACACTTGCTTTTACTTGTTTATTGACGGTGTTCAGATGACTTTAAAATTGGCAGTTTGTTGAACACCTTGGAATCGCCTCTGGGGTATTAATCCACGACAAAAACCTCATCAGTGACTTCAGGGCAAGGGATGAGGTGGATGAAAGTACAATTCAGGAACTTTAGTGGGGGGCCACAAGGGATGGACTGGATGACATAGTGTGGGGAAACGATTTATTATGATTTTTAGGGGTGCAGTGTCCCAATTCAAGGAAGATTCTCCGCCAGGCTGAGGCGCACAAAAAGTACCCCTACAGATTCTTTCGAAAAGGGGGTCTGTTTGGGCCAAGAAATGGTGGCATTGTGTCAGTATGGCCCAGAATCATGTCTGTAGATTCAGGGGCAATACAGACAAAAATGTGATTGATGTGATTGATAGGAAGGTGAGGGATGTCATTTGAAAAATGGCCCCTGAGAAGACTTGGGAACATTCACTTTTTTGGGGGGTGAGTTTGTTTTGGGCAGATTATTAAAAAAATCATTGGTTAACCTACTAAAAATTGAAAATCAAACGAAATCTGAAGGACCAAACAACACTTTTTTTATTTGAGAGGCCTCAGGGACTTTAGTTGCCTGCCATGGGGCTCCAAACTTGGTTGATTTTACACTATTTTCAATGGAACTTGAACTGGTTCAGTGCACCCTTTAGCTTGGTCGTTCACAAATTGGTTCAGTAGAGGGTGCTCGTCTACTTACCGTAAAGTTAATTGCCGAGAGTTAGCCCAGCTGTGTGTGCACACGAATCTAGAAATAGAACTTGTATCCATGCAGTGTAGGAATATGTGTGCAAAGACGGATATTCGGCTTTGCGAAAGGAAAAAGAAAGTAGTTTTGGCAAGGGCAGAAAGAAGTTGGTTTGTAATGGCGTCTTGTCAACCCTAAGCCACGCCGGCTGCTGCCGTGCTGGTTGCCTCCTCCGTCCTTGCCACTAGGACTATGGGGGTAATCTTCATGTGTATATATATATGGCCAGTGGTGGTTCTCCGTTGACGTTCACTTGACGGTCGTGTTTCTTGACTGCATACAAGATGCGAAAGTCACAACTAGCTGCACGGGGAAGAATAGCGTAGCCATTATTTTTGAGAATGTACCAGAGCCTTCCGCTGATGGGTTGAAGGAGCAGGTGCTTAGATTTTCGTCATATCCGTAAGAACCGAACAGTAAATCAGAATTGATCGTCAGAGACTGGACCCTTACTTCTCTCCGTGTTGATGTTTTATTTTATCGCCACAAGTGAGACCCAGTTGTCTGAGCTGATCACCCAGCAGCGCAACGCCGCGCATACTACAATAATACAGGTACGCGCTGGACCACACCAATACGACGCTGCAGACACGCCCACGGAATTGTAGATAATGCTTGCCACGCAAATGGTAATGACGAATTCTCATATTTATTGTTGGACTTGTATATGATTCCCCTATATTCTTGGATCTTAAGCTCCCGAAGCACATCTTTAAAGATAGTCAACTACTGCGAAACTGAGTATTAGAACCAACAGGATAGACGGCGCAGCCAAGAAAACTTATACATTTTTGGCCCCGTCTACGGGCCGATTACTCTTATCGAATGTGCACGGGATTATTTCTTATATAGCTCGAGCATGTAGACTGACGAATTTGTCACTTGAGGTAAAAACAGGATGCATTAAGCAGTGACGTATTTAGGTATTCGACAGGAAACTATATATGGAGATTTTTTTAATGAAACGATAATATACATTTCTTTTTCAACTTCCATCTCCAAAGCAAAGTGCTAAAATACCTTTTTGAAAGTGTTGGCGTTTTCAATCTTTAAAAAAGACAATAGTGCACTAATGAAGGTCAAACCGCAGCCTTGCCTTGGGTGGCTACGAGTTCCCATACACCAAACACTCAGACCACTTGTTCCTATGTCTAAAGTTATTCTGAGCTGAGGCGAGTGCAAGAAGAAACCAGGACCAGTCTACCGCCTCACTCGGTACACCTCTTAAGTTGTGAGTCTTCAGTTTAATCTTCATACGAAGGCGTTTTTGTGTTGAGTGCATGTGTTTGGGCATGAAACGAACAGGCGCATCACTTTCACAGAACAGAGTTTTAGTGACAATAATCCAGTGTCCAGCGATCCAGAGCCATAGACCTTATTTCCATAGGGAAGTCATATTCTATCTTGTTCCATGAATCTGAATATTCAATGTAATCTGTGAAATGGGATGATGTCGGACTATTTTGGGTTCCAAACGTCATTTTAATATTTTAATAATGTGGCATAATATTTAATTTATCACAAGATAAATTTTTCTAAACAGAAACTGGCATGAATTTGTAACGAACTTTTATTTTTGTCTTTGTTATTTTAAGTCCCGTGTTCCCCAAATGAAAAGTTTTACTTCACTTTTAATTCAATATCACCGATACAAGTTGATTCATTTTCATTTCAGTTATGAAGATAAGCTCAACATACAATCGATCCTCGTTAAGACGAGGGCCTCAGGACTTACCTAATCATCTTGTATTATCCGGAACCTCGTCTTAAAAAACGTATTTTCCCACTCGCGTGTTGTTTGTCGATCGTCCTACTGTGGAAGGATAATGAATTTACTTGCCAAACTGTTCGAACGCGTTCTTTATGAAAAAGTGATGTACATGTAGAATGAATAAAGAGTTGTTATTTTAAATATGTATTTGGCTGTAAATTAAAAAGAAGCGGAGGGGAACGAACCTGTAATCAGGAAGACGCCAACCCAATTCTTGCATTTAGTTCTGTTTGTCAGATGGCTAAGTGATTCGGACGGCTAAGTACTCAACCGTCAAGCAAATTCGATTTATTCACTTTAAATTAAGCCTAATCAACGGGAAAACAACTTTTTGGGGGGGGGGGTCGAAAATGAGCAGAATCTAATACCTCTATCAACACTTTCTATGCACATCGTGGAAACTGTTATGAGGTGAATATACTTGTGGAAATTCAGCATTCTCAAGGCAAGTAGTGTACGGTATGACATGTCATCGGTCGCAGAGGGCAGAGTTGATTGCGGAAATGAAACGAAGGACGTCCCTGCAGATTTCGCCCCGAGAGCGATTTTGACGGATATGTAACGCCTTGCACAAGTGTGGACGCGCATATGGACAGGCGCCTTCAACGACTACACTAATCTCGAAAGTACCGTGAACACTATTGGCGTCCAAAGCAAGCAGTCACTACAAAGCAAAAAGCTATGCAGGGGTAATGACATTGCTGAAGTTCAAATAACAGTGAAGGGTAATGTAGGTGACAAGCTCACGAAAGCTTGCGCAGTAGGCCTATAAATCGACGGAGCAAAAACGAGAGGTACTTGTTCCTTGCAAGTAAGCTGAAGAGCAAGATGCCGAAAGATATTTCAACCGACGAAGTGAGTTCCCTGACACCTGTCTATTCTAGCTATCTCAGTAGGCAAATACTAGCCAGCTTTGTTGGTCTCATCGCTCTCGTCGGTGTGCTGGGAAATAGCACCGTCGTGCTGGCTGTAGTTCTCTCCCGTAAACCTCGCACGATCACCAACATTTTCGTGGTCAACTTGGCCGTGGTGGATCTCGTCACCTGTCTAAGCATGCCTATCATGGTTCTAGCAGTGTTGAGCGAAAGCCAGGAAAACCTGCTGGTTTCAGAGGATCTTTGCGCTTTCCAGGGATTCGTGCTTATCGTCTGCCTTGGGTGCAGCCTGAACAACATTGCCACGATCGCCGTCTATCGCGCCTTGGTCACTCGCAAGAAAACTCCGGGAGGACTCCTCTCGCTGTTCAATCGCTGCGGTCTTGTCGCCATGATTTGTGCAAACTGGCTGGTCCCCCTTGCAGTGGGTTTGTTGCCTATTGTATCGAAGTTCGGTTCTTACGGATATGACGAAAATCTAAGCACCTGCTCCTTCAACCCATCAGCGGAAGGCTCTGGCACATTCTCAAAAATAATGGCTATGCTATTTTTCCCCGTGCAGCTCGTTGTGACTTTCGCAAGTTATGCGGTCATCCTGTACACAGTCAAGAAACACGCCCGTCGAGTGAACGTCAACGTGGAGCCACCACTGGCCATCGTTGGTGGGACCATGAGGTCCCCACCTCAACCCGGGCCTGCAAGACAGCCACATACATCAGCCCGTGGAGCTGCTCCAGCCCTGAACCAGCGGCAAGCGGGAGCTACAACTCCGCCTCAGTGGGCCCGTAGAATCCGATCGTTGGCCTCCAGTCGTCCTGCAACGCACGCCCATGCTGTCGGACCACCAGTTCAAGCCAGGCCCGGGTTTCGCCGTGAGCTCAGTGTTACCCGATACATGTTTCTTCTTGTCTTTTGCTTTGTGACATGTTGTACGCCTTTCTTCGTGTTGGCCCCGGTCCTCAGGGGTACATCGCTGAAAGTCCTGCCCTTTTTCGCCAGTCTTATGCTCTTTAATAGTTGCATAAATCCTGTGATCTACGCTGCGCGGCACCCCGACCTCAAGGAAGTTATGCGCAGCATCTTGCTGTGTAGGCTCTCAAAAATACCCATGAAGTCGTCCTTTTGTCGGAGGTTGCTCAGATTTCGAGATTGAATTCGGTGGCCATTCAGAAAATCGCCCAGATAGTATATGATGAGATTTAGTGAATCTGATACTTTGACCAGAATAGAAACCTACGAGGTAATTATATATTGTGATCGAACCACTAGTTTTGTTCATACCTTTTTGCCTGGTTGAAAGGCCCTACCACGCATCTTTTAGAAATGCATGTACATGTAATCGGATCCTGAAACACTAAACAGATGTCTGTTTAGGCAGTCCTGCCGGTGTATAGCTACTTCAAGCACGTGTTGGCTGATAGTTGGTCTATTGCTTAAGTACAGAAAGTACCCCCCTCATTAGCGAAAGCGTTCTGAAATGTCGCAGTGATCGCTCCTTATAAGAAAGCGTTTTGCATGACACAGTCGCATCCAATAAAGCAAATGTGCATTTTCTACTGGAATGCCATTTATTCATCAGCAAGCTGTATAAAATGGACACCAGTTTTAATGATTTGACTGCAGATGGCCAGTTCACTTGCTTAATGTTATTCACGGATGAATGTACTATAATGTGTTTTTAAAAACATTCATCAAACAAGAAAAAGTGAGGAGTTCGTGTCATGCAACATTAATAGTGATGTTCTTGTGAAATTGCCTGTCATACAATCCACACTTTGTTAAAACAACTCTCGTTGTGACCTCTCCCAGAATTATGGAGTTGCTTGTATTCTGTTTAACAATTAAACAATTTAATGAGATCTGAAAATTGCACTTGAGCACTTACTGTGAAAAAAAAACTCTAAAAAATACTTGTCAGTGTTGTTAAACTTTATTACATATGCCTAGAAACCAAAATAGTTTCCAACACATTTAAAAGTCAGTCGTGATTGTGATAAAAACGGTAAAAAAGGTTGAATGTGTAAGTTGTGAAAGTAGTTGTTTATTTACCTATTACATATCAAAGATTATAAGTAGTTTTAAAAAACCTTGAATCGGTGATCAATTCTTAATATTAAGTGTTACACTGTTCAGCTGCAAGGCAAAGACTGCCCATGTTACAATCTTAAGGGGAGGCACAATGGGTATTCAGCGAACCCAGTTGGTCTTTGAAGAAGTTTAGAATATCAGCCAGTCGGTAGCACATGTGCTCGTTTCAGGACAATTTCATTAAGGTACGGTCTGTATAATCTGTGAAGGTATTTTCTAAAACAAGACCAAATTAATCAACAAGCTCCAAACAGTAAAAAAAAACACTTCAAAAGAATCTTTCAACCACGAAGAAATATTATTGGTAGAATTTAAGACTAGTTTCACCCAAAAAATGGTTATAAAAAGGCACTTCAAATTTAAATTCGCGAATCTTATAATATAAAAAGCTAAGTACCTAGATATTTTCTTTTCAACACTGTAGAACCAATGTGATTGCAACTTCTTTTAGTTATAAAACTGTGTAAAATACAATTATTATATATAAATGTTATAGTCACCAATTATAAATACTACTTACATTATCAAGACTGAATAGAATGAACAAATATTGCAAAGCATTGATTTACATTCATCTTGTAGGGTTCTTAAATCAATATTATTTGCTTACGTTTGGTAGCAAATGTGTTCATGTTAAAGTCGAAGATGGGTTAGGATGCCAAGACTCCTCGCTAATCAGTGTCAAGTGTTATTTTGTACCCTCGAACCCTATTCCCGCTAACAGTATACAAAGTAAGAGCCAATTACGTGGCATTTAAACTTGACTGCACTCGAAACGCCACACTTCATATTATAATCACAGCATCGTTAGAAAGTGTCCTAAGGGAGACGTTACACGTACAAAATATTAGAGAGTCATTTATATTGTGAACTTTACTCTTAACTTTACACTTGCTATTATGAATCGCTGCATCGATAAAACACCACATTTATTTAAAAGACAGATTTGTATGGTCCATACTTAACATATAATTCTCCAGTGTTTGCTGTTCATGTCGATGAAAATGTCATTTAAGTACCATTTGTGATGTGAAAATAAAGAATCAACATGTGTAGGAATCACGCAACAGTGGTGGTACTTGACATCTAGACAACACCTAGGCAGCTATATTATAGCCATTATATTTCGTTTTTAAACAAAGGCCGTGTCCGAAACGGGCTTCCAGAGCTACGGCTAGGTCTATTGTCTACGCGTCTCCACACATTTCCAATGGAACGAAGACCTAGACCTAGCTCTAGACAAGAGATTCGGATGCAGCCACAGACATTGACTCTATAATTACCGATAAATATAAAATACGTCCTGATGTTTTCCCGTTTTGACATGACGTCATTACGGTCGAAACGTTGCAGACCAGCTGCCATAGACAACAATGATGGGCCTAAATACCTTCAGTAAAAATATATAAGAAAATAAATAAATATTGACTCCCTTCAGAGTGCTTGAGACTTCAAATTCAAGTTCCTTTCCGCATCTTTTACTTTCTGCTCAATTGTCGGTGGTTTTACCAAGGACTCTAACATCTCCATTTATAGATAATTACCTCTAACGGCCAAGTACGTCCTCGGAGTTTTGTTGGTCAAGTGCGTTCTATGAGTTCCTTTGGTCAAGTAGGTCCACGGAGTTTCATTGGTCCCGCATGTCCCTCTGCCCTGGTGCGCCCCCGGAATCTGCTTGGCTCAACGCGGTCGGGTCTTCATCTCCAGATTCTCTCTGATTTGGCGGAGCAGACAATACTTTTTCCTCGGTTGCAGTCTCGGAAAATGTCCCAAGTGAGGACGGTTCGTCACCAGGATGACTCCGACACAAAACAGAGGAAGAATCTTCCCTGGCTATGCGACTGTTGCAGCCAGACTCCTGGTTGATCCCTGATTGGGTCGTGGATGACGACGGTTCGTCGTGTGTGGTGTCCTGGCTTCCCCTCCCTCGACCTCTCTCTTCGATCTCCAACTCCCCCACGGTCCTCGAACTTTCAACAGTGTTTGTCGGCTCCATCTCTATTATCACTGGAGTCGGCATATCCTTTCCAGACTTGATTGCGTTGATGAGGTCCTCGTAGTGCGGGGGAAGTTCCAAGTAATTGACGCCCGTCTGGAAGGTCCAGTCAGGGTTTTCGTCCAGACCGCAGATGGCTACAGGATTTTCATGCACGGCTTGGTCGTATCCGGGTGGATCATCGTCCACAGGTACGATGTCGTCTTCGTCCGACGTTGCTCGCTGGCGGTTAGCTCTTGCGGACGCTCGGCGCCTCTGGCGCTTTATCTTGGCACGGTCTGTTGAAATAAGTAAATACGGGGCTTTGGCGCATCAAGACATATTTACAATGGCACCTTAACATTGATATATAAACACCTTAAGCCAGGGACAAGTTCAAGCGAGGACAATTTGTCGGTTTGGTTTCTCCTAAGGGTAACCAGTGCTCATCCCTGTATCCAGGGTGCCAGTCCAAATCTACCTGTGCTTGATAAAATGGTCTTTGGCCGAACTTGCGCTACATTACCACGCCACTATATTCACGAAGAGACACAAGATCATTTTGTGGAAAAAGAGCTTTTCGAGATAATCGTATGCAAGAGACGTTTGTTCTATTTTAAAACTTAAAAACTACCACACTGCAACGACATTATGCAGTAAGGAAACCTTTGAATGTTTCTGTGAAAAGTAAACATTTACCACAGTTAGCCGAGATTAGCAGAGACGCGCATCTCTTCGTGAAACAAAAATCAATGTTTTCCTACATTCTGGCCTTTCTGTTCAAGGCGTTTAACCATGGGGAAGGTGCACGCATACTCACGTTGCTCTTCAAGAAAACTAAAATCCCAAGCTAACCTACTTTAAGGCCTTTTAGGCAGTAAATTTAGTATCTGTTCAAGGAGCAGGCCTGTTTGCCCTTTCGTATTAGGAGGTTAATTTTTGTACACAAACTTCACGAAAGTTCCAATCAGTATTTTTTATAAGAAGCCTGAAAATATCCCTGTCACTGGTGGGCTGCTGATCTCGTGTCAATAATTTTCCTCGAAGACAACAGTTCCATTCTACGGTAAATGGAATCTCTGCTGCACGTTCACACTGTCAACACTGCAGCCCCTCACACTAAAATAGGTTCTAACGTTATGCGGGGATCTAGTCCGGTGGGGCTTTAAAGTTTTGAATAAAGCGAATTAAAGAATAAGTTCATTGTTTTTGTGAATTGGAAAGAATTTAATTCGATTAAAGATGAAAATTTCATTCCATCTGTTAACTGCATGAATTATTCTTACCGTAAACATGTTTGTACTTGTACATGTATTTGCTCTTGTACTCCTAATCTATCTTTCACATTGGTGACTCAGTAAACTACAACAGTAACCCCAACAAGTGCGCCCTCAGTAAACTTCCATCCACACATCCGTAAATAACGCACATGTTCGGACAAACGCAGCAAGATGGTGTTTGGCACCAACATGACATTACATCGCATATTAAATTCACCTGATTGGTTGGTTACTGATCACGTGCTATTTGAATTGTTCATCGCAACGATCGGCGCGGCTGCACCTCAGAAATAGAGGTATGATTTTTGGGTACACAAAGGGTCTGTCCTACGTTTACATGAAATTCTGAACTCTTGGGTTATTAAGGACTATCGAATATGTATAAAACAAATATAGCCTATCTGTGATGATTTTTTAACATTTGGGCAATGGGTCGACAGAAAACATAATTTCACTCCGTGACATATGAAGTGTTCCATCTCATTTAATTTCGCCTACAATGGAATGTACCATGTCATCTGTCAACGAATGAAATTAGTTTTACATTGTTTTCTTAAATATAATTTAAATTTTGTTCATGAAAAGGCTTCACGCGTAAACAATAGCAGAGCTTTTTGTCTAGCAACGATCTCACTTCTCTCACTTAAGGATGACACACCATGAGTAGGTCCTTGCTCCAGCCCATCTGTTCGGGAACAGCCATTGATATCAGGAAAAACAAAACAAGCTACTTATTCTCTTCTGATTACATCTTGACATCTGTGAACACCATTACCCACAAGCTGAAAGGCAACCTTGCGTAAACGTGTTGATGTCCAGTAACTTAGAGATCAAAACTTTACGAAGAGTGTCGTAATTTTTCACGCAAATTACGCACGAGGCGACATCGTCCAACCTTGAAGTGCCAATGCGCAATTGCATACAACCCCCAGAATGGCTTTTTACCCCCAGAGATTTGACCAAACCTCCGTTACCGGAGATGCGACCCTGCAGCTGAATTTGCAGATACATTGTCCCCTTAAATCATCAAATTGTTTCATGTATGTGAGGCCAAAGGTTGGACTTTTGTCACTTGGCCGAAGACGAAGCCGAAATGCGAAATAAATAACAAAAGAAAGGAAAAGAAAAATCATCTTACAACTTCTACATCCGTAGCAGCAGACAATGGTCCATGTGATCGCTGGCATGATGCATACAAGTACAAGAATAGCCTTGCTGACAACTGGTGAGAAAAAAGCAGTGATATTCTCTCAAGTGAAAAGCAGTTTCAACAAAGAGCCACACTCGCCGCGTAGTGGCCTCAACGCGAACGAGAATTTATAAAATGCACTGCTCTTCCCTGTTCCCGACAATACATGCTGACGACCACAACAGAGACTGGCTTCATGTACATGTCTTGCTGACACACATAATGTTCATGGCGCTAATTACCAAAGTGCGCGTGCGCAAGATTTGAACTTAACAACAGCATAGCAACAGGCTATGTCTGATTTCGAGCGCTGTAATTGCAAAATGAGGCGTTGTCACCATTAATGGATTTTCAGGAAACAGAGCATAAGTTATGAAATTTTTCTTTATCAATCCAAATGTCATTAATCATTTCATTTTCCAGCAGCATTGATTTTGTACCCTGCCTCAAAAAAAGGATGAAAATGTAGCTTTAAATAACCCAAAAATTATTTTATTTTTCACCCGAAAAAAATGAGTGTTGCCAAATTTGATCAATATCTATTGAAAATGAGTTTTCCTGGTTATAAAAACTATTGATGAAATTAGTGCAAACCTTTGTAATTCCGATTTTTTTTCTTTTCTTTTTATACTGTGCGGAGATTTACCGTTAGAAATCTTACGAATTGAGGAAAATTGTGTGTTGTTCGTGGTGTCGTGTCTAAATCTTCCCGAAATGTATTTATGCTTCTACACCATGGTATTTTACGAGGTCAGTCATTGAAAAAATCTGCGCTGTAACGTTGTCTGCTTGCACGAAAAACCGTTGTCGTCTGCTTGAAAATGAAGTGCGCATGCGCACTTGTAATGGACCTTGTCTCTATGGGCCATAAACTCTCGTGAACAATTGGCAGGCATTAAGTAAATAAAAGTAATACACCTCTACAACCTGTGTGTTCACAAACAGGCCCAGAATATCCGTGTGGGCATTCACACGTCCCGTCCTCGTTGCATTCTCCGCCGTTCTTGCAGTCAGTCAAGGTGGAATTACCACATGCTAATTGGCAGGAAAAACAGAATAAAAAAACGTCACCGAGGCAAGGACCAAGGACAGTCTTTGACGAAGCAGGCTGTGCAGACGACGTATGCTGAACGATGCGAAAGGGTTTTTTGAAGAGTACAAAATTGACCAAAATGTATGCCTTTTCTCTCTTAACTTCCAACATGTTAGGTTTTCTGATCCGTGTGGAAAAACACCCCCAAACGGTCTTTCAAACCATGTCAAATCAAGAAATAGCAAAGTTAAAAAAGAAAGCGAAAAAAAGCAACACACCCCCTCCTAAAAAAGTCCCCAAACACATCATAATACAACTAAAAGCAATTAATTTGCCCTCGCTTCATTTTGAAAAAAAAAACCTGCTCATAGACATCTGTAATTAACAATCATGCTTGGAAAAAAATACAATTTATGGAATGGGTTGGTGACTGCAACAGTGTAATTGGAGAGATGAAAGATGGAAGGTACTCTGAATTTCATCCTGATAATTTACCTTATAAGTTTGCTTTGAACTGCACTGAAACAAGCCAAGCCAACGGAATTTCCATTACACAAAGATTAAATTCCCTCTTCTCCTCTGGCCGAAGTTACGGCCTTATATGACATATGATTTGCAAAGGCAAATGAATTCAAGTTTAGAGTTTAGAATAGCACTTTTAGATATGAACCCCAAAAATTGAAGTAAACCATTATCACAGCGCCTTTTAAAGCTCGCTATTTTCTTAAATCTGGAATACCACATCGCGTTCAAAACTGAAACGAAAGCCAACTTGCACAATGAAAGCAAGTTAGCACTTGTTGACTCTGACACAAGTTGACCTCAGAGCAACAAGTTGACCCCATTTTAATCGTGAAAGAGCCCAGAATGGAATCCGCCTTCAACCTTTTCTCCACTATTGTTGCAGAGCAATTTTTGCAAGCACCGAGATCAAAATGACTTTTCAGTAACAGCTTACGGTCATTTGGACATTCATTTTGAGAAAATTGGAAACTGTTCTCGCGCGACGTCGATTTTCTCTCTGCTCAGGTTAGTCCAACAATCCATGCTTTTTCCACGAAAGTAGGCCGACTCGAGTGAGGCCATGAACTTCAAATGACTGTAACATGAAAACGCTACGTTATATTGAATCAAAGGGCTTTTACTGATGATGTCTTTGCATGCATGTTAAGTTCAAAACGATAAAGAATGTCACAGTCGAGTTCGAAGTAATAGTTGGGTGGAATTCGCCCTCGGTTATAAGATGGCTTCCAAAACACCCTGCCCTTTCGAGAGTTTCAACAAACAGAGAGCTTTGACATTTTCAAGCTTTAACACCCGGTAATCGACCACTCTACGTACACTCAGTGTTTGTCTACTTGGGAGCCACACATCAGTGAATGGACCGTTGAAAATGATGCAGTACGTGCATAGTACATATACAACTCTCAAATACTAGTTACATCACCACTTTGTGTTATTTCAGAAAGCACGTCACAATGTACATTATTTTATAATACATGTATGTCCGAAAAAATAAACCCGGAAGAATTTCTGATTCCACTTAGCCACTTTTCATTCCAAGGTGCACGAGTTTAGCACGTGACCGTGGGCTTACCATTTCTAATGGTCTCCACTGTTCCCGAGAAAAATCACTGGCCAATAATCTCACATCACTTTGTTTATAATCAAGAGTAGGACCCCTACCCCGACTGTACCTATGGCCCTACCTGCATCGGACAAGCGAGGGTGCTGGAGGAAGAGCAACAGGCAGACGCTGAGGACCGATTTGCGGTCCAATGACGATGTCACCATCGTCCACAAAATGACGAACTGTTTGCCCGGAATGGCGACAGTTCCCCTCGAAGCAGCCACACAGTAGTAGGACTACCAGGGATTCAAAATGGACACCAAATTCTGGTCATCTGTGCTTCGTTCACATGAGACTTTGAACATATTACTTGTGCACGGTAGTAGTAGTGTTGTTGGCTTAACCCAACACAACAAAGGGTTTTATTATGCAGCACAACGCGCCAATGCACACGTTCAAAAGCCCGTTCGTTACTAACCTTTTACAGCACAGCATATTTGTATTTAATTCTCTATGGCAGGATCAGGATAAATAACGTCTATATTAATCTTTTCAGCAAAGCTTTGAAGCAAATAAAACCCACGAAATAAAACAAAACGAGACAGCGAAACAGTTCGGACATTAATTACATGGTGCATTTTTTTGCCGCAGAGACACTGTGCCTGATGTTACCGCCATGCATATTTTTCTATACGGTAGGGCCTATTCATTTCTATACTCCAACCAGGACTGTAAAAGAGACACCTTGCAATAGTTTTGAGTTCTCACAATGATTTGCTTTCACAAACAATTTCTGCAACTTCATGCAAGTTCAGGTACAAACAGTTGACAAATCAAAGGACACTTCGGGCGTTTCACAATAGTGCGCCTTCAAGAGGTTGCAAGATAACCCTTTCCAAGGCCGTGTCCGAAACGGGCTTCCAGAGCTACGGCTGCGTCTATTGTCTGCGCGTCGCCACACATTTCCAATGGAGCGAAGGCCTAGACCTAGCTCTAGACAAGAGATTCAGATGCGGCCCAAACGAACATTGGGTCGACAGATTTCGCGCATTGTGATTGGTCAACGCGTTGCAAACTCTTGGAGGCGCACTCTTAGTATTGCCTGAGCCAAATTTTCGTCTTTTTTGGGGTTGGTCTGGGGTCAGTTTGGCCAGAATTTTCGTCGGTTTGGAGTCGGGTTGGATGTGGGGAACGTGGATGAGTTTCGGGACCGGATTCAGTCTGGTCAAGCCGACCCAGATGCACAACATTACCAGAAATATGCATTCATTTTCAATGTACGATGAAATTGTGAACGTCTTGGGTTAGTTTAAGCGAAAACCTTCCCACCTATTGATTGCATACACTCCTCAGAAACAATTAAGTTAATCGAGGTTAACAACTGTAGGAAGGCACACTATCTCATCAGCACGCAGTGGCAGATTGAGGTTTGGAGCCTAGGGGAAATTGGAGATTTCTATTTCCTAAAAACAGTTGTCCGATTTTATATGGGCCAGTTTAAACGCAGCGTATTGTTTTTAAGACATTGGCGCTTCCAATATCTAAACTAAACATTGGCAACGTGTCGCTGGGGTTAAACGTACTGCCTTGCACCCACCTCGCCGGACACTTCGCGGCGTTGGCGCTGTGTACAAATGCGCTGTTAACGACTTTACTTCGCAAAAATCTTTATTTCATGTGTATAAACATGTGATGCATTTGTACCGCCAATGAATCCCTGTCGGGTAATGGGCATATTTTGGTATTGTAGCATTGCTGGAAAATGGTGACTTCTTCCCTGACTTACCAGTCTTTGTGGTAGCTGCACACGTACACGTCGCGCCACGTTGTAGGCCTAGTTACTTTTGACAATTGTGCGCAATTTGTATACCCGGTCTGCCGAAACAACAAATGCCAACGTTCGGAAATTGTGAAGTACGCTGTCAATGTCCGCGCTCTGACAGTTGGTCGCAGATGAAAGTAATCCACTGGGAAATTTACGAGCCAATCAAGAGAAATTTACGAGCCAATCAAGAGTGGGAAATGGATGAAAGGGATATTTGCAAGGGCCAAAACAAAGACTTTGCGTGACGGACGACAAACACTCTGATTGCCTTGACGAAAAATTTAATGATACCCTCCTCTTAGTGCAGGGTGCGACTTTTTTTTCGGAAATAAAATGAAACATATCGAATGTTCTCGTATATAGACCCGACACCTGAGGCAGGTCGAGCTGATTTTCTTTTTTTCCTTTGCAGTCTTTGAAAGATTAGGCAACGGACTGCGTGTGTGAATTAAATTTTAATTGAGTAGGCCTACATGAAACCTGTGACGCACGCCTGTCGGTTGCCAACAGGTAAATGTTATTATTTGACAGTAACATGATTCATGACGTCCATGAACATGGAAGGTAAATCCCAGAGGGGATGGGGGTAAACCCCCCACTTTTGAGGGTGGGGTGGGCTTTTGAATCACCGCCCCCCACTGTTTTATGATGAGCAAACAATTTTTGCGGATTGTGAAGAAGTTTTAGGATTTCCCAACGACTGAAATGTTTGTAATACCAGTAAATGGAAAAACATGAATTTGATACACATTGCAGATGTACATCTCTATCCTGAACACTGCCCCCATATCGTAAATGGTACCCTCCGGCTTGTCAAATGTGAATGGCCAGGCAAGTCACCTCCCCCCAACTTTCCCAATCCTCACCCTCAATTTCCAGCACAGATTTACGGCACTGTCCATTAATCTTAAACTGAGTTGTATGTATCTATTGTACGCACGTATTATAAACAGAAGAAAAATCAACGTAATGAAATTGAATAATCGAAATACTTCTGAGGTTGCTGCAGACCACGAGGATTTTCAATGTTTGAGTTGGTTGGTTGTGCGAAAATGCCACTAGTGTCGTCTCTCTAGAGTGCCTCTTGGGAAAAGAGAACACTTAAAATGGGAACTCGTAAGTCGTGATGACAAATGCGCAAAACAAAAACAAACAAAACGACCAATTAGTTTGGGAAAATAAACACAAACTCGTAAATACAGCATTTGTTACACCAATCAGTGACTTTCTGCACCCCATATAATGGAGCACAGTGTTCACAGGAATGATGGCCTCTTCCACTATTGTCAAGTACAGCAGATCTTTTCTTCTTTCACAGAAATACAACCCAGCTCCTTAGCTGGAGGAGCTCGAAGGCTGAGCTTAGCGTCGTGTTTGTAAGGCGGTTGGTTGTGCGAAGTTTAGGGGGAGAGCCAGAGAACGGCCGGCGAAATTGGCCTCATTCACAAGTTGGCCATATTGAATTGAGAGCGAGGTCAACGTTTTTTTAATTTTGGCACCTGAGAACAAAACTGGAAGCACTGAAAAAAATTTAATTGATTAAATTATGCTGTTGAAGATTTTGAAAATTTTGATTATTTATATCTAAATGTTTTTTACCACATTTCTAAAGAAAAAAAAAGAGGCATAGAATCGAAAATAGTCTGACACCAGCCATTTAACAGATAACATAGAAAACCATTCTATGTAACCAGTGAACACGATTAAAAATGGCCTTCTTGTGAATAAGGTCTATGACACAGCGTTCCAAGCCTACTCACGAAATCTTTCCCGCGTGCCGTGCTATCACGTCAAAGAAAAGTTTGTCCTGGTAATAAAATGAGGTTTTCCGAACGACGGGCACATTTTCCCTTTGTAAGAATCCGTTGTTGTGAACGCTTTACAGAAATGCATGTCCGTTCGCGCTCCCCCGGAAAGGCAGCCGCAAGTCCTTTGTCGAAATTAATCAATTTTAATGGTCATATAATCGAAGTCAGCAACAAAAGGAAAACATCACACTGATTTCAAGAATTGGAAATGAGCCATTTAAAAATATTGCCATAACTTGAGCCATGCAAATCGAGATCAGTGTTTAGTGTGGCTGTAATTATGTAGCTGTTGGAGTCAAGCTTGTCATAAAACTGATCCTGTGAAAATCTGGAATCTGATGAAATACTTCATGAGCTAATTAGCATTGTTCGAGAGACAGTAACGAGACCTTTGCCTGTCACAGTAACCTTTCATATCTGCAGGAAACCACTCTGAAGTAACTGCACTGCAAACAAATATTAAAAAATAATTCAAGAACGTGAGGCCTTTGGAATCATAAACAACGCAAGAAGTAGATAATGGAGACAGAGACCTGGCCATTTGCCAAATATTTGGGGTCATTAATTTATCAACGAGTGACTTTACCTACAAAGCCAAACTGTGTATGGCATCTTTTCACTCATCTGTGGAAAGAAAAAAGAATTAACAGTCGCTTCAGCGCTATTGATCCTACGTTAATGAGTAATGTTTCACGCTATTCTTAAAGTCGTCGTTGTTATTTTCTATATCAGGTTTCTGTTTTCATTGCATTGGTTTTCGAATTGAACTCAAATCCCAAATATGGATAGCCTAATATTTATCATTAGCTAATTTTTGACAAAATGTAAACTACACTCTAGCCTTTTCCACCGTCCACATCCGTAGCCGTGTCTTACAGACCCATTACCCTTGCACATTACGTATAGATACGGTCCAAGAGTCAACGTTGCGAGATCCAAACTTCATACTATGCACTAACGTTAAGAACCATAATGCCGGCCTCCAACTGATAAGATGCCACTCAGTGGTAAGTACAGTAAAGTGCATTCTCCAGTTACCTCTGAGAATTAAATCAACAAAATCAAACCCATGGTGTCTCAGCTTGGCTTTGAACTTGGAACGAGATAAAAAAAATCGGAACGTTTCAAAGTCCGATACCCCGAGACAAGTAGCGCGTTGCCCAGGACTGGGAACGCAGTTGCTTCTCTCCAGGTCAGCCCGCTAGCACGCTTCCGGAGATGGGAGTTGTTAAGCCGAAAAACAGGGAGCGACTGCAGTGGCTGAGTTAAGGGCTGCATGGTCCCTGCTCACGCCTCAACAATCATTTTACTTGGCGAGAAAGTAATCCAACCGTTTTTTATAGTGTGACCGTAAGCAACTCCCTGCGTTGCATCAGGTGCCTAACTCACTGCCAGTTGACCGTCTTTTGAGGAGCATCAAACGTAAGTTACATCTGTTACTTTAGCAAGAAAGATTCATCAAATGTGGTAAACAAATAAAAGAAATTATTTTTATTTTGCAATTGAAATCAAACGATTTCCTCTCACAATTAATAGCACAACCAAACAGTTGCGGCTCTCTTTTCAAGGTGCCTCAGACACAGACACAAAAGCTTGCTTAAACTACTGGAGGGCGTGTACAAATTTTTCCAAAGGGGGGGCAACTTATTATAAAAGTGAGTCGTCGTAGTGTTAATCAGATCATAGATAAGCATTTTTGTTTCATTATTCATGCATTCAGAATTACGTGCATAAAACCATTCTTAACCACAGTTTGCTCTCGATATGCATGAGGGGTGTGGTCTCAGAAGCTGAAAGCTTTTTCATTGGATTTATTGGATTTAATTTGTTGTAGAAATGCCTTCATTATTTTGATTTCGTTGATACTGTTTCTACTGATTTTTATCAAATGCTGGATTTTAGAGGAAATGAAAAACAGCAAACGAAGGTACATATAGAAGATAAACCGTGAAATTCAAGTTCGTTGTTGAATTGGCAGGAATACATTTGACCTCAAATACAATCTCACATTTATCTGCACTTCTTAATTTTTAACATATGAAAATGGACGCTCGTATTTAATACACGTATTTTTGCGAGGCAGACTTCACAACCTCGGTTTTGCTTTAAGATACCGGTGTTAAATACGGCTAAGCCGTATACATGGTCATGTAAGATTTCTGATACGTCAGACTGAGATGCAAAAGAATAAATGTTAGAAAATAGTCTGTTCTCCTTTGCCGAGAGCAAAAAAAATAACAAATAAAAAAATAAAAAGGAAAAGAAGAGGAAAGAAAACTGCTTTGATTTGAACTTCTTCATCTTTCTCAAGTTTTTTTTTTTTTACAACAGTTGAACAATTATTGTTGAACAACTGATACGAAATATTATTTGACGAACTGTTATTACAAGCAATTCTACTGTTTATTAAACAATGCATTCATCAGCTAAATGTACTATGAATTGGCTCTGTAGTTCCTTGTCCTTAGGTTTGCCTTCAATTAATACAATTACTGTCATCAAGCTTATCCACTTGTTTTGTCTCATTGTCTTATCTCTCCACTTAACATATATTCCTGCAATTTCACCAATATTTAAATAACAAAGAGGAAGTTTGGTTTATTTCAACTTTAGAAGAACGGCGTAGAATTCCTCACTCCACCAAAACTTCCCTGGTATTGTCACAGAGCATTTTTTTCGGTAATCGAGCCCTCATTTCCAGTAATGTCTTACCGTCATTTAAACACAACTTTATGAAGATCGCCCATGTCCCCCGACACAATGCACGTGGGCCTTCACGCAAGAGGCAGGTAAACAAGATGACTACATCAAAACCGTGCGTTAGATTCAAATGGAATTTCACTGCGTTCTTACACCAAATGTTTTATGTGAATGATAATGAACGATGAGTCAATGTCGGGTCTTGGTGGATGGAATTCCACCCTCCTTCTTTAAAATGGTGCGGGAAAACCTATTGGTTAAGTGCTGGGTATTTACCCACAACGATGTCGATTTTTTTTTATAAAACCACGTTTGTTATAAATTCAAATCAAAGGTCAAACTTAGATTCACTCATATTTGACCAATGCCAAAAGATCCTTTGAAATAGGATCCTCCCAAGGCAATGAGCCTTGATCACAGAACAAAAATCTAAAGATTAATAAGCGTGAAAAGTACAAATCTGGTCTTTAGTATCACTTAATTCGTTTTATTTAAACCTTTTAATTCGTTTTACATGTACTCTATCGTAAAACCTGCAATTAATGTAACAATTTACAATGATATGGCGGGCGGGGGAGGAGGTGTCACCTTCTCTCGTGTGATTTCCACACATTGCCAGCTCTGATTTTCTCGTCGCTCCCTTCCAATGAATTATTGCAACAATTATAGGGCTGTGTTTGAGCTAGGTCTCTCTTATCTAAGAACCTCTGAATGGTGTGCGTGAACTTGGCCCTAACCTGGACTTTATTCCCCCGATAAGATTAATACAACTCGCTGCTGGGCAAGCGTATCTTCCTTTAATTAAAAAAAAACTACATAATGGTAACGATTTTGTTAGTTGCGAGCACTTAACGGGGGGGGGAGGGATTTAAAGACCTCCGCTTACTGGCTCATAGGTTATCTGACTGAGCAAACAGACTGGAACTCTTAAGACACACAAAGTTTAGAGTAGGTAAGAGTTCAAAAGCTAACGGGTTTTCTGTGCTCCCGTGCATTTTTATCTGCTAGGTACTGCTGTATTTTTTTTTAACCCATGACATCGACAGTATCTGATGCCCAGGGAAATGAAAAGCATAAGCTGCAAAACGAACTTTACCTTCGCATTTGGGAATGTCTTGGTAAATGTGGTACAGGGTGTGTTTTACTTGGAGACGCATAAAAAGAAACACAAAATTGTTTTCGCCTCGATTATATTTGGAGCAAAATTGTAAAGCAAACTATGGGGCAGAGAGAACCCTCCCCCTGTCTTTGTGTTGGTCATTATTACACTCGTATCACAGGAATTCTTTTCAGACATCTAGGGGGAATGTGTTAAGTGACAATAGGCTGGAGTGTGTATGGGATTGGACTTGTTAGGGGGGACCCCTCTGTCCCATTTCGTGCCTGGTATAATTTGGAGTGTGCTTATTGATTTGAAGCTTTTTCCCCTCAGCATAATGATAGCGGTAAACATTGGGGACTTCACAGGTCCATGTGCCCGACGTTCGATGTCTCAAACTACCTCCGTCTTAAAAATGCACAGACCAAAAGTGATCATAATTATGTATAGAAAGAATAATCCGAATGAGTGTTGCACTTTCACAAAAGCAGTACTAACCATGGGTAATCGTAAGGTTTGAAATGGAACGATTTATGCCTAGAGCTTAGATTACGTGTTCATCGTATAAAACTCGACTTTGCTTAACAGTTGACTCCTAAAAGATTTAGTCCATTGACAGGACAAGTGCATGTCTCTAATAGATATAGAAATAACACAACTCAGTAATTTTTAATGAATTCTCCTGCAGCCAACGTCAACATGGATCCAATGTGGGAATGGTTCTGTGGGAAGAACAACTCTTACGTGTTGGGGTCGTCGCCAAATGTCATTGAGCAGGGCGTCAACAACACCTGCTTCGTGGACGCGGTGGCAATCATCCCTCATGCCGGATTCGTGGTGCTGGCCTCCTTGATTCTCTTCGGCGTGAGCGTCTGCTCCAGCTACCGAGGGTACAACACCCGCTACATCATCTACATGCCGGGCCACACAATCCGCTGGATAGTGAGCCTGCTCCTGCTCTTTGTCATGATGGCCGCCGTGGGGGAGGGACTGCTGTCCGACGCCACCTACCTGGCCTTGGACCTGGGTACCCAGCCGCACCTCTACGCGGGAGCCGCCACGGCCATGCTGGGCGCGGTAGTGTCGCTGATCTACTACCATCACATGGAGCTGTGGGAGCTTCCCACTATGGACTTCCTCCTGCTCATCTACTGGATCCTGGGCCTGCTGGTGGAACTGCTGCGACTCCTTAACCTCTACCAGACAGGCCTGTTTGACGTTACCGTCATGCGGTTTGATATCTGCATGCTGATCATCATTTCTTACGCCGTCTTCATCCTGTGCGACCTCAACCTCATCAGAGTCAGGGTAATACACCGTGCGCTAATTTCAATACACACATGGGAAGAATCGACGTGCTTGCCTATTTGTGTAGAAAGTTATTATTGTCATATATAAGGTATCAAGATATAAGAACGACATGTTAAGTATTAAGCAATGCCAAATGGGTGTAGTTTAAATGGACAAACTCCTAAGTCGCGAGGGTCAGCACTCTTGGAGAAAAAATTCTCGCACAACGGGGTCCTATAGTTAAAGTCCCTTTCTCGGAACTTGTGACAGACAGGTTTATATTTACTCACGCATGTTTCCGTTTCCCAGGTGTTTGGATTGTGCCGCAGCGGACCGGATCCGTTCCCGAAGGATCTAATGAATCCGGACATGGAGTTCATGTACTACTACGTCAACTTCCTATCACAGCAATTCTTCTGGTGGATCAATTGGCTGATGTCTCTAGGCTACAGGAGACCGCTAGAGCTGGAGGACCTAGGAGACATTCCTGAACGACACGAAGCCAACTACAATTTCCTGGAATTTAAAAAGGCACTGAAGATTGAATTGGTAGGTGGCATATGATAGTATATTCACTGTTTTGTGAATGTCTTGTCCAACTCAACCCAACCCAACCCAACCCACACAACCCACCCAACCCAACTCAACCTAGCCCAATCCAACCCACCTAACTCAACTCAACTCTTATGTTACAGGACAAGTGCGCAAAGAATCCCGGGTCGATCCCTTCACTGTGGAAGCTGTACTTTCAAGTTTACGGCTTTAAACTGTTCGGGGCTGGTGTGTTGAAGCTGGCAGCTGACTTTTGCGGCTTCGTTGGACCCCTTGTAATCGCTGGGTTGACAAAGTATGTCTCCACTCTCGCTTATGGTGGAAATGAGAAAACGGTAAGCAAAAGCAAACTCAAGTGAAGAGGAGAGTTGTTAACAGCGCACAAATCTATTTGTTGTGAAACAGGTGGAAAAACGCAAGACGAACCAACTTTAGAACAGCCCTCTCTTATAAGATCCACATTCTTTTCTCAGATAAGCGTAGCCTACTGACCCGATCAGAACATTTCTACGAGCTCTAAATTGTTTTCAAAAGCCTATAAAGTGATTGTTTTGCAGGAGACACATTTAAATGAAGGAAATCAATATTCCTCTAGCTAATGGACAGGTAAGCATCAGCCCACGTTCTTTTGTATTCCTTCATTCTGCGTCCTTGTGATATCATCACTTGGTTCCATAGGCCGCACCCCACCTTGTGACGTTCGATGAGTTCTTCGATAACGGCTTCGTGTTGGTAGGGACGCTGTTCTGCGCTTACTGCATCAAGATTGTCTGCGGTCAGGGCCATATGCATCGGGCAATCCTACAGAGCATGAACGTGCGGGCGGCGTTGCAGGTAGGTTCTGTTGGCCACAGGTCGGCCATCTTTACTAGAAAGCGATGCCATCCTCGGGAACATTAAAAACCGTATGTGTGGGGGAACAAAGAAGGTGTATGGTGTGATGGCGCACTTTGTATGTGATCATTCTTGTGCTGCGACAGATACTTAAAAGTTATGAACCAAATTTCATGATAGTTTTATTTCACCTTCTTCCTAAGATATTCGTTGAAAACAATTAGTAATTAAAAAAACCCTGACAAGTGCCCTGCCTTTAATCAGCTTTCCTTACGTTTTGTATTGCACTTGGTCAAGCTGACATTTACAACAATTTTGGGGATTTGTTTGTTCAACTTTGTACAACCTAATAGAGTACCGAAGTGAATACGTCACGCGCCCAATTAGTGTGTAAAAGGCATTAGCGCGAGAACCAGCGCGTGAACCTACACGTGCGCGTACTCCGTTCGTTGCACTGCACTTTCTGGTTCACAGTGACGTCACACTTCGGTACTCTATACTTTTCATGTTTACCCCAAATGACAAACTAGAACAACCTGAGTTTTTCGTTTCTCGATTTAATCTTGCAGGGACTGGTGTACCAGAAGGCCCTGCGCTTGTCCACTTACGCCACCACCGGAGGCATGATGACGGTGGGACAGATTACCAACCACATGTCGACGGACGCCATGAACGTCCTCTTCATGTTCCAGACTATCAACTACTTGTGGTCCATACCCATGCAGGTATAGTGGCAGAGGGCGCCCTCTCATCCATTCTGTTGTGACTTCAGAATCGCGGCCGTTTTGGTTCCAAAGTCCGCATGCGCGTTTACGCACGAAAAGGTTCATCTAACTCTGAGCCTTCTGTTGTGTCACCCGAGACACTATCACTAAGCCATTTCTGATCGATTCGTGCCCCCAACTGGCTATTTTAGACACAGAACGGCATCGCACACCGAATCAAACATGTCCTCATGTCACAACTCTGCTCACAAGCTGCTCTTCTTAATATACAAACATTTCCAAGCAAGTTGTTCAAATTTTATGCAAGTGCTGATTACCCAGGGCCCACAAGCAATCATTAAAAACCACCAGGAATTCTGCCTTGCTAAAGCAGAGCATAAAGCTTCCGAATTCGGGTTTGAAATTGCAATGTTTCCTAATTGATATTCCAAACTGGTTTTATTCACCTTTTTATTCACAACATCACCTCCTCCAAGGAAAGGTGATACCATCGTTCATTTCATACAAAATGAATTAATAAAAAAAGGTGACATGTTTAGGTGGAGGCAAGTAGCCCCCCTACCGTCCCCACTTTCTTTGCGACTGCTTCCCTGCCCCTCAGAGGAGATATATATATGTGATACTTTGGGGGATTTCGTGTCATTGCAGGTGGTCGTCATCCTGATCCTGTTGTACCTGCAGATGGGCGTGTCGTCGCTGATTGGGGCGTCCGTGTTTCTTCTCGTCTTCCCCATCCAGGTCAAGATCGCTACGTCGATCAGCAAGGCCCAGAAAGAACTCTTGGTAGGATGGGGGTGATTAAGATCCAGATTCGTGGGGGGGCCGGGGGTGTGTGGGTAAACCGGGGGTCTCTTTCTCTTGAGGCTGACGCTTGTTTGCTCAACATGGTCACATATCGACGTGAAAGATGTCTTTTTTAGTACAAGCCTACACGTTGGAGTGAGTTAATAAAAAAATGGACATAGGCCTTGTGTTGAGATACACCAATATTTCTTCACATAACCTGGAAACTGTTATCAGTGGTGTAACCAGGGTGAAATTTCTGAGAGGGCACACGGGCGTGTAACCGTGGCTTGTATACTTGTATACCTATTTTATATAGGCTGTTTATTATTACAAAATTTCAAATAGGATGGGGGCACCTGGGGACACGTACTTCCGCGGGGAAGGGGCATCTGCCCCCTCGTTGTTCCTGTAGTCCTGGCATTGTTTTCAGAGTTTCAGAGTATTCAGAGTTTCAGTTGTCAGACCAGAATTTTCGTGTGTGAAGTCAATTCTTGCTTGCAAATGCCAACTGATATCTGATTAAAAAAAAGAAAAGAAAAACTGAATTTGCATATTGAGTGATTTTCTTTTTGTCGCCAAAAGTCATGAAATCGTAGTTACTCCTTCAAGCACGACGGTCACCTTTGCTTCATCGTTCAGCGTTCTCTTATTTTGCAATCAATTTTGAACTGCTTCAAACACATGTATATGTACTTAAAATAGAAGGACTGTGATTTTTTTTATCTCATCGAACTTGGAGACCCTGTTGCAGCTTGGGCCAATTTCATAGAGCTGCTTTGAGCACAAAATTTGCTTAATTAAGTATGGAAAAACCTTGCTTGACAAATCAGGTTACCAGCCAAAACTCAATGCGATGTATATCGATTTGGAATGGTATTCACCTGTCTTTTGGTTAGTATGACAATCACATAGATTTTGAGCTGGTAACGTTCGTCTTTCAAGCAAGGTTTTTGCGCTGAAGCAAATTTTGCACTTAAGCAGCTCTATGAAATTGGCCCCAGATCCGCTGGACAGACCATCACCGACCTCCCCCAACCCACTCTTTTCACAGAAAAACTCGGACGGACGCATGAAGCAAGTAAACGAGTTGCTTCAGGGCATCAAGCTTCTCAAGATGTACGCGTGGGAGGACCTGTACTGCAAAGGAGTAGAGGTCGTCCGCGAGAAGGAGCTCCGCTCCTTACTCAACGCCAGTGCTGGGCTAGTCTTCACCAGTGAGTCATGGTGAAATGTCTCCATAAGGAGATTGTCCGAGTAACATCAGAGAGCGTGTCTGACCTGACTTTGCTGTCGATGTTAAAAAAGATACAAGTAACACTCGTAATTCTACACCCATGATTGAGTAGAATTAGTTCAGTTGGTTCTCAAAACGCCTCGATAAAATAGTGCAATCATACGTGGCTCTGGCGTTTTGTCCTTCTTAAGAAAAGTTCTTGCTCAAGCGTCAATGAATCCCGAAAAAAAGTTACTGCGAAAGGCAGTTTAAATCTATGGTGACTGTTAATTAAAATATATTTCAGAAGAAAAGATGCAAGAAAAAGTCTGCAAAATTAGTGCAGTTTTGTGAAATCAGCCAATTGGCATTTGGCCTCGATACTGGTGAATTTATCGACTACTTCCACTGTTGGGTATACTATTGCCAGTAGGCTTTCCCGGATCAACTAACAGTTGAAGCAATTTGTACACTGGTCTGTTGAAAACTGAATAATGTTTGTGGACAAGTATATCAGGCGCGGTCTTTACTGTTAATGAAATGGCTGAACGAAATGAACAATAATGGTAGTCATGTCTTATTCCTTACAGTATTCTTCACGGCTGGTACCCCGACGGTCGTTACCCTCGTTGTAAGTACACTGTGTATAAGGCTGCATCCGAATCTGTTGTCTAGAGCTAGGTCTAGGTCTTTGCTCCATTGGGAATGCGTGGAGATGCGTAGACAATAGAACTAGCCGTAGCTCTGGAAGCCCGTTTCGGACACGGCCTCAGTTTTCAAGAATTTCGTATTAAGGCTGCCATCATTAAATTTTTGTTTTGGGTCGTAGATCTACTTGAGTCCATTTCCGAGCCCCACCAAAAGCGCTAAAACAAACGGCACGCTGGTGGTAACTAAGCTTGAGAAACTAGATGGTACAATATAGATTCTTATAGCCGTTAGCTGATGGGTCACTGAATCTTGAGAAGAAAGTATACACTAATCTGAAGATCGACCTGGACTACAGAGTCGAAATTGTGATTTTTTGCAAACGTGGTCATTGCTTCGCTGCATATCTACTTGGCTGCCTGCTTCAGCACTTATATTCATACTTTTTCAAAACCTTATTTGACAGACACATCGTACGTTCGGTAAATTCATTTAGTGCTAGAGTTTGGAGATTGAAAATAATTGGCAAAGGGTCCATCGACAATGACAGGTTAACAGTAATCACATGTATGGTTGATGGTGTTTTCATTCAGCTCCTGGCTTAAAATAGAGTGTGGGTTTAAAACGTGGCACTTTACGTGGTACCTGTATCTCTCTTTCACATGTTGAGACCCGTCTGTACTCTACAGGTTTATCTAGGCGCTGTTTTGTATGTATTTTTTAAGGGCATGGACAATGTTTTAGGGGATTATTCAAGACCAGAATTTGAATTTAATCGATTTACTGGATTTAAAAACCTTTTATTGAAATGACGATGTGTTTGATTTTGCAAATAGTGGAGAATTCATTCGCATAAAACTAAATTTGCTTGCTTTGGAAAAGATCATTAAACCAACTTACCATCAGTATTTAAAAAATAAAAAAAACGAAATTTAAGAGAACCTGATTTGAATTAAAAAATCCGATTATAATAATAAACTATCAAACCCTTATGAATATTATATGAGAGCTCGTATAAGGTAAACTACAACACAATATATTCATTTATAAACACCCAAACTGACGTCATCATTTAAGTGGACAGAAAAAAAAAGAATGTCACCAGAAAGCAGAAATCAATTAGTATCCGCTGTTGCTAATAGATCCAAAATTCCTAACCCAAGAGCAGGTGTATTTGCCTTCTAGGTCTTTTAGGTGTACTTGCTAGCTTTTGGCATCCACAGATGTTCAGTCCCGTTTGGCATTTGATGTTGTATATATGCAGGCCTTCAACATCTGTAAGCCTTCCCTAAAGTTTGGCATGCCTTACTTAAAACCTTTCGACTTCGACAGACTTCAACGTCATGTTTGTCGCGTGTTGCTCGACTTACAGGCTTTCGGGATCTACACCCCGCTGACTGGCAGCATCCTGACCCCGGACGTCACTTTCGCTTCGCTGTCCCTATTCAACCAGCTCGCCGTGCCGCTCTTCCTCTTGCCCTTTACCCTCTTCCTCCTGGTCAACGCCGTGGTCAGCACCAGGCGACTGGCCGAGTTCTTAGTGGCGCCCGAGGTAGAGGGTATTGGCGAGGGCACTGACGAGCCGGAAGAAGGAGAGGAGTGCATAGAGGTAGGCATGAGGATTGTAAGAGTACTTCCAAAGATCTCCGGAAAATTTTACGCGAATTCGGTTCTTAAAGGTATGTTCTCCTTTTCAGACATAGTATAAAAGGACAAGACTTCAACTAAATAAGTCGTTCTACTGGTGAAAAGATTTCGCATGTTCATGAACATACATCTTATTTAGAGGTCGAGGCGCTCTACGAAAATGAAATAGTCCGATATTTAAGCTCACAGGGCAAAAGCCTATCTTAAAAAATAAGGTAAGTAAATGTATTCGTATTTGGGCTTCAAATTAATCCTTTTTATAAATATAAAAGTATATGATCACTTACAAAAAGTGAACAGAAAAAAAAACCTGTAAATGGTGTGGCAGTTTTCTTTGAACAGAGATTTGATCTGAAATTACTTGAATTGTTGGTTACTTCATGCAAAGTCATTTCAGCTAAACATAAGGTAGTTATACCAATACTAACAAAATGTATTGTAAAGACATGATCGCCCGGGTGTGATCCAGAGACAATTCTTTACAAGTGTTAACCACCTAAAAGATAATGTTTTATATAACAAACAAGACAGGCCATCTTATGTATTATTTCCATCTTTTTTTTTCAAGAATGGAGAAACAAAGAAACCACTGATTGAGTCAGCGCAGCCTGCGATCTTCCATCAGACTAGCAGCGCCGATGAGGCAGACGAAGAGCAAGACGAGAAGACGGGACTCCTGGACGACGCCAAGAAGCCACCGAAGACGGACTACGGCT